CTGATAAGGCCTTAAAGTAGCTGTGAAAGATAAGTGTGTGAACAGAGGCGGTGCTGTAAACTTGTCATTTGTGTGAAAACTGTGCAAATGTAGTGTTTCTCTTTGCCAGCCTGAACTCAGGGTAATTTTTTTAAGCAGGTCTCATTTGGAGACTTGAAAGCCAATTCTGGTTAAGAGCAAAGGCTAAGGGGGAATATATCTACATCAGTTGAGATCTTTTTACATTGTTCTGGGTTATCTGGGTTTTTTGTGTTTTTGCCACCCTGGCTTAGATTCCCTGCAGGACTTTCCACTGTTGAACTTGAGCAGACTTTAATTGAGGCGTTGTAATAGTGCGTTGTATTTGCATGGTGACTGCATGGTGAGCAGCTCTGTAAAGATGTAATGCAATCTATTGTGTCAGTAAGTCACAGTTGTGCAGGGGAAACTGCATGTGTATGAAAAAGGGATGTGGCGTGGCAAGACTGTAGAGCGCTGGCAGAAAGAAGAAGTGAGCAGATGTAAGCGGATGTTTGCAAAGGTTCCAAAGGTAGCAGGCACTGTGGGATATTAACAGTGTGTCGATTTCGTCATCCCAGACTTTTTTGCTTCCCCAAAGAAGGAACGTTTTGACATTTAGAAAGGCTGATCATAATACAGGGAGATTCACTCGAAAGAGGCCCCGAATCTTCTGTTGTAACTCCCGTTAGGATGAAGCAATCTGAACCAAAAAATATGCTACATACCTTGACGTATGTGTAATCGATTGCATTACATGCGATGCTGAAAGTGATCTCCGTTTTCTGCCAGATACATGAAGGAGTATGGGGGTATGCACCTGTAAGATGCAAATAGAGATTAAACGTCACAGCGGCTGTCCGACACCTACCTCATCGCTCTGACGCAGGGGCATCCCAGCTTGTTTGAAGCTCCATATACTGAGGAGCACATTGCATGTTGTTTTGGTCAGATTGCTTCGTCCTAGCGAGAGTTATCACATAATATTCGAGGCCTCTTTCGAGTGAATCTGCCTGTATTTAACAATATAATGTAATGTAAGACTGTACTGATGGCATACAGTCTGTTCTTCCTTAGTGCCCTGCTTCCAGTTTAAGAAAACACTAATGTTCTTGGATGAAATGGCATAATGAAAATGTTCATAATCTAGGTAATTATGATTTATCGTAATTGCTGCACTCATCTTTTGGTATATACATCTTAAGAGTTTGCAGTAAAACAACAACAGTTGCCAATGTCATCATTATTTCAAAAAGCAGCTTTTATTTATGCCATTCAACCATGATCAGGTTGCTAAACCTAAGCTTGTATCTATGTGTTCAGGATGGCAGTGGATGGCCCATTTGGCACAGCCAGTGAGGACGTCTTCCGCTATGAGGTAGTCATGCTGGTGGGTGCTGGCATTGGCGTCACTCCCTTTGCCTCTATTCTGAAATCTGTCTGGTACAAGCATGTCCAGCAAAACACCAACGTGTTCACCAAGAAGGTGAGATGCTTGTCCATTTCAGTACTGTTTTTAAGTACTGTTTTTAAGTCATCAGCTTGCTCTCGCCATTTACCATTGGCAAATCACTAATGGCATCTTAAAGGGAAATTCCACCAATTCAAAATTTCTGTATAATTCAATTGTTATGTAAGATGTGGTTTGATGTAAAGTGGTTCATTATAGAAAAACTTACCCACTCAGATTTCTATAGTGTGGTGGTGATAGGGACCAGGGGTTGTCATGATTACAGCGCAAATATAGCCATTTCATTTATTATCCACAATAGCTTCTTGTGTCTTCTGTGTCTTTTCATATCCAAAAAAAAATCAGTTAAATTTACTGTATTAGCATGAGTGAAGTTTGTTAGATGACCTTGTGGGGAGGTAAGCGATCAATTTAACATAAAAATAGACTTCAGCAGCAGAACTTGCCATAAATCATTGTGATTTGATTCAATTTCTTTTTCAAATCTAAAGAAGATGGTGCTTATTGGCTGTTTTTAAGTGTTTTATAAACAATACAATATGTAAAATTTCAAAAAAACATGAATATTTGCTGTCTTTAAACTGGGTTTTGTGTGACAAACTACTCCATCTGTTTCATGACTACTAATGTACTTTACTCAAGTACAGTTGTATGCAAAGGTTTGGGTACCCCTGGTCAAATGACATGTTTTTGTTGAAGTAAAAATAAGTACACATCCTCTACAGAGAATACACTTCTGCGCATTTTAATGCACTTATTATTTGCTGAATTTAACATATTGGGAAACAAATATAATATGGGGCCTATGCCAACACTATGGCACATTTTATATTTTACCTTTTATTTTTCCAATATATTAAACACAGCAAATGAACAGAAATTGTGCACTAAAATTTCACTTAGAAAAGCAACAAGACTTATCATTTGAATATGAGTGTAGGGCTACATATTCCTGATTGACAGTCATGTACTGTTCCATCAGGTCATCAATCAAAAGGCAGTCCAGGTCGAAACATTCCTTATAACTTCAGTGTGAATGGATGGGACTAAACTGCTGTTGTTTGAATAGGTGGATGTATGTAAATGCGTTGACATCAAAAAAACACAAATTTAAAACAGTTTTTATTTATGGACTGTGGTACACTTTGAAACTGTAATATTTATATAGTACATTGGACGGTTTTATTTTAAAACAGCAAAGAAAATTCAGTTTTCCATGATATAGGCCCTTTAAAACATGGAAGTGATTTCTTCATCCCTGACAAAATGTACAGGTCTTCTAGCTTTACATTCGTAAGTGCTTTTGCAGGATAAACACATGACTATGTCCATTATGAAAAGCCTTAGTTGCTGCCCTTCACTAAACAATTTATTACTCTGACCTTTGACTCTGGCAGATCTATTTCTATTGGCTCTGCCCGGAGACGCAGGCGTTTGAGTGGTTTGCGGACCTGCTACAGTCTCTGGAGCGCCAGATGAACGAGAAGAACATGAGAGACTTTCTCAGTTATAACATTTACCTTACCCGCTGGAAGGACACCGAGGTCAGACACTCACAAAAAACACATAAACACATCCTAAAAGGAAATGTGAAGATATACACAGAAATGATTATAGTGCTCTCCTTGAAATGAGAAAATATGGCAAAAGTTTACATTCCACAAAAAGAAAAGAGTTCTATACGCTGCTAGTCAAAATGCAGTCACAGTTGTTTCTCAATGAATGCCTCACAGCCAGCTACATTGCAAGGTCAGCACTAAGTCGGTGTAATATTTTGCAATTGAAGTTTTAGCATTTAGCATGTGAGACTGGGGGCACAGTCAGGTAGAAAATTAGTGGCATCTAATAGATGTAATCCTGAAAAATCATTGGGAACATGTTATTGATTTCATGTAATCAATAATGCCTTATAAAGCTCTAATTGTAACTTTTTAATGATTGTCCTTGCATTCCTTAATGAAGGCTGCCCACTTCAGAGTTCATCACGAAGCAGAGAATGACCCCATCACTGGCTTGAAGCAGAAGACTCTGTATGGTAAACCCAACTGGGACAATGAGTTCAACGCTATTGCAACCAGTCACCCAGGGTGAGTGTAGTCCTATAGTTAAAATCAGTCAGATTCATTCGAGACTACTTTCAATATATATATTTGCCTTATATTGGCCTAATATAATGCTGTTAGTACTGCGAGTACAATACATATGAATACATGTATCTATGTACAGTCATACGTATGCTGAATTTAATATACAAATATAAAAATTAAACATACAATGTTGCATGTGCAAAAGCAGAAGGTGGAAAGTAACTAATCACATTTACCCAAGTACACAATGGATTTGTTTTCTCCTGAGCATTTTCAATACTTTTACTTCTACTCAAGTATATTACTGAGTAACAGAATCTACTTTTTACTCAGTTACATTTTTTCCATTTATATTTAGTTATTCATTCTTTTTTTGGGGGTTTAATTTCATTATGTATTGTTGGTGACAACATCTTTACTGCATCTCTTCACTGTTATTTAATATTAAATATAGAATAGAGCCTAACAAACTTTCATTTGACATGATGCTTTTATACTTCTACTCAAGTATTAATACTTTTACTTTATAATTTTTTATTTTTTTATGTTAATCTCAGCAAATAACATTTTTTGTGCATTAAAAATAGCAGAAAAACGCCATATTTAACTTTGTTCCATTAAGAGGTTGTGCTGCCTTATTTTTACTTTCAAATTCAACTATTTTTGTGTGTTTTGGTGTATCACTTATTTCTCTCCCTTTGTTTCAGATGTAAAGTGGGAGTGTTTCTTTGTGGGCCACCCCTTCTAGCCAAAGCCTTGGAAAAGCAATGCCTCACGCAGTCACAGGCCGGAGCTGAATTTATATTCAACAAGGAAAACTTTTAATCCTCTCTTTCGGACATCTACGGCACTGCTTGTAGATACATAAGCATGCAATTTAAAGGTGCACTGTGATAAATAACAATAATAAAAATATCCTTTCAATTAATTTGCTATAAAGCCAAAGGAAAGAGTTGAAAAACCCTGATTGGCTTATGAAAGGGTAAGAATGTTTCTGTGTATGTTTACAGTAATCAAAACATTTATATAAACAAAATCACCCTCCGCGTCAAAGCTGTATGATTTTAGTAGGCAATAATCTGCTAACAAAAAGTTTCATTCACTTGTAAATGATTTAATGAGCTTTTCTTGCTACTTTTTTGTTTCTGTAATATTTCCAAGTGCCAAGCCACATCAGCTCAAATACTTTCTTTTTACCTCAGTTGTGAAATTGCAGTGTTTTGTTGCAGAAGTGACTGTAAAAAATAGCTGACCAGTAATTCACCCTAGATGGGCTTTCAAAAACTCATATCCTCTTTTACATTCAGTTACCGAATTACAGTAGTCAGAAAACAGGTCTGCTATAAATGTAAATAAGAAATATGAGCTCGATTGGACAAAACCTCAGATTTTCTTTTTAGTGCAGTGCTATTATGTGCAAGAAGCACAACTGAATGCCCAATTGGTGAATTACACAAATCTTTTTTATTCTTAAGCGATTCATAAATAGATACAGAGGGGAAAAAACACACACAGGGGGAATTTGCATTTGTGTTGTTACAGTTGTCTTGTTCCTGCTTTGTTGTTTTCCACATTGAATACTGAAATCAATAAAAAAAGACCATTGTTTTTGCATTTCTGAAAGATGTCACTCTTCTAGCGTGTTATTACAGGAATCATTGAGGAATCATGACTTCCAGAACGTCCTACAAAGTTCTTGGTATGGTTGCAGTTAAAAACACATTTTAAAGTTATATTTAATATGTTAGGCTGACATCAGATGCATTTCTTTGTATATTTTCATTGAATACATTCTCAGAAATAACATTATGAATGCTGCATTCGCAAGGTTGTGATGAAATAAACAAGCATTAATTTAATACAAACTCAAATTCAACCTGGATGAGCAAATCTATCAATTAAATATTACACTGTACATATTTGCAGTGATTCTACACAAACCCAGAGAAAACAAAATGGAGGAATGGCAACTACAGATAACTTTAGCATCAAAGACAAGCAGTTATGATACAATATAAAGTTTACACTGTGGGCACAAGGGAACTGTCATTAAAAGACATGCCACTCCAAACAGCAGAGGACTTCCAAACAGACATTCTGCACAGGCTGGTTCAGAATACTGAGATGAGGTGGTGGCACCCCCTGGTGTCCAAGTGTGTATATTGGTCTGAAGGTGTGACGTTGGCCCTGGTTCTTGGTTCAGAGAGTGACAGCGACGGCAAACACACTTACAACGCAGTACATGGTGCGGTTCTCCCATCTGACTGTGCAGCTTCCTACAGAGAGAAAAAACATAAAATGAAAAATAAATGAATAAGATCCCATTCAGGAAAAGACTCCACTGTGGCTGTTTCCATTTGTCATTGAAACAGTTTTCCTAACATAGACAAAGTCTAGTGCCAACTATAACTGTTAATGGGAAATTCACTATTGAAAAGGATTCTATACATTGGATAATAGTGCTGGGCAGTAAAGATAAAGATATGAAATCTGAGTACTAGTAATGTAAGCTGAAAGAGTGGCTTCCAAACTCTTAAAATTACACCAAAGTTAACCTTACACAGTATTGTGATACCCAGACATAAACATGTTTAAAAAGGAACGTTATTATTTATTCAATTTTTATGGATTTTAAACCATCTGAAGTGAATACATTGCAGGTAACTTTGGTAAAGTGCAAAGAAATAGAATTTAAAGGTCCCAGCCCATTTGATGCTCTTTTATATACTTTTCTTGATTAACTGTAGAAAAAAAACAATATTGGTAGAGCAGGGCTGCACAATATGAACAAAACATGAGTACTGCATTTATATTTCTACAAAACATGATTGTGACATGCAGTTTCTCAAAAATGCAGTGGTGAATTAATACAGTAACATGGTTCAACATTAGCCTGCATTATTTTGATGAATAAAAATTATGCTATAAATCAGACATAGCATACTGGTACTGATGGGTATCAGTAGTGACCTGATATCAGCAGAAAATGCTGGATATTGAAGGGACATAAAAAATTAATCTAATCCAGTCTTGTAACAAATCTCACACTGTGTGATGCCATGTCGTAGCTATGTGGTAGTAAAATGTTTGAGTAATTTGAGTATGACATTACTTTTAGATGCAAATCTTAAGTAAGGCAAGCTCATTTTAAAGTTTAGTAGTTTTTACAGTGAAAAATAGCAGTATCGGACAGTATTCTAGGTTTCAATATTGGTATTCCTATTGGAAAAGAAAAAAAAAAATGTATCGTGCCGTCTCACAAGCAGGAATGTATCGATACAGATACTGGTATCAGCCCAATACCACGCTCATTTACTCATACGCGTACACATCATATGCGCCAATACCAATATCCGATACCTGATATGTGATGTAAATTGTGTGTATGCCACCGTGCTAATAATCAACCAACTCAAGTTGGCACATGGGTCTGCTTTGACGAGAAATGTTGCTGAACCATGGCAGTCACTGGTCACTTTAAATATTGTTCCTTGGCAAATTCCCCCAGACGTACACTGTGATTTTAGCCTGTATTTAAACACAAAGCCACAACTATTTCACCAATATGGATGGAGACAAAGAGGTCGTGGCACCAAAAATTAGAATTGCAAGGTATAAACATTAATATAGTGTTTTTTTTTTTTTCTAAAGTGCGTTTAGTTTCAATGCACAATGTGGTTAGCCAAGCTGCTGTAACTCAGGTTCCCAGCGTTTCTGCTTAGAACTTGGCCCACAGTGTTTTATTTTGAACGATACAGCTTTACTGATAATTGTCCACAGACAAAGCTGTTTGTAGAGGCTGCGTTTCACATCAGATCAAGTGTTCTATTACAGTTTGAGCATATAAATTGTAGGCTTTGTCTGTACACAGTGGTCTATTCAAATGTAGTGTGAGTCACCAAAGAAGATTTCTAAAATTACACAGGGTAAGTCTGGCTTTAGAAGACATTCAACTACAGCACAATCAGTTGAACAGAAGACTCCCTCAAAACGTAAAACTCCTCAAGTGAGCTCCTCGGATTAGCCTTGGATGTGATTCTTGTCATTGTGCTACAGAGACTGTTGTTGAAAGAGACAGATGAGGATATCAAAACTATGAAATGTACTTTACTTACAGCTGTAATGAATTGTACAGAGCTTTTCTGACGTTGAACAAAACCTGCACTTCTCTACTGCAACGCTACTCAATCACGTTACTAAGCACAATCACAAAGTGTTGTGCTTAGTAAGAGGGCACTCTTTGGCAATATCAACAAAAGCCAATACTTCCATAACGATTACCAAACAAGCTGTTTTTCCACATACAAACAGAATCCTGCCTATGTGTGCAAGTTTTCTGTCCCACTGTTTAAATAGGGATGTTATATGTAGCCCTATCACTTACCATCAGTGGTTGTGTCCCAGTAACAGGAGTTGGCAGTGTGAAGTCCTGCCCCACTTTTCTGCATCACAGCACAGTTAACTGAAGCATCCACAAACACATACATACACACACAATCAGTCAAGGGAGTCAGTAAAATTTTGAATATATTTATGTGAAATGTGTAAGCCTTACTAAAATGAGCATATTACCAATGTACTTGAATGGCTTTCCCTGTTTAACCAGCTGAGTGAGCGAGTGCTCGACTATGCTGGCCGTCCACTGGTTCACTTTATTCTGGTTGTAGTCCACGCCTCCAATAACACCCTCAATGCACTGCCAAACACACACACTCAAAATGTAAACGGAACCTTCCTCTACTCAAAAAGCAACTGTTAATCCTTCAGGCACGAGTTAGGCATGGGACTTGGTACACAACAAAGATCCTCATTCACAGCACACAATCTACTACTGAGTAATAGAGAACAGTTAGTTTTTGTTGCAAAACAGACAATTATTGTTTAATCAAATATTAACAACAGTAAAAAATAATTGTCTACTTCTCCAGTTGTACAGATTTCTTTAACTGTGTTGTTAACAGTGCATTCTGGCCTAAAGGTTGCACTTAAAATGTTATTTGTCATGTTATACAACAGTTAGTAGCGGACACGCAACCTGCTTGGTTGAGAGGCGTTCTAACGGTGCTGATATTTCGCCATAACATCACGGGTTTTTCACAAACACTGTATCACTCCGCTAAGACGCCTTTGCTAAGCAACGGGTTTGCCAGCTGTAGGAGAAGCTCAAGCCATTTGAACGCTTTTACTTCTTACTTTGCGCACAAACAGAAAATTGATACTTTTAAGATCAGGTTTGACCTACAGCCGATTTGGTCAGACTCTGAAGATGAGCCTACACTAAATTCCCAAACTGTCATTACCACTGAGCAAGCTTTTCAGTCGGCTGCGGTGACAGAAGAACACCTAAACATGAATGAACCGAATACCATTCGCCAAACGTGTCGCCTCGTCTTCAGAGCCTGACCAAATCGGACTGAGCCATAAAACTGCCGCAATAAAAAACAAAAAAATCTTGCTCAGTGGTAATGTAACGTTATGTTCCGGAATTTAGTGTAAGGAGCGCACTGGCGGCTGTGCAGCGAGCATTACTCTGACGTAGCAATAAGCTGCTTGTTAAGGAACTATTATTTGGCGGAAGGAATTGTTAACATTAAAACATATGAAATGATACGTTCACGGCCCAATTTATTAATTTCTTACTTTATTTATTTAACTGTTGTATAAAAAGCAATAGAACACTAGAGGTCGTGTGTTATCCGCGACCAAATCACAGCCGTGATGTTATTTCGCGATAACACACTCCCTCTCGTGTTCAATTGCTTAAATATGTTAATATTCTGTAGCACAACGTTCTATCCCTCAGCCTGTCACAGTTCTATGTCCTTTTTGTGTTTTGTCCATCAATTTTCCTTCACTACAACATCCATTATGCATTATGCAAATACATCAGACAACTGGTAATCCCCCTAAAGAAATCCACTCATGTAGATGAAGAGCAGATCAGATATTTGACTTTCTATCGTGAACTATCTTGCTCCTTTAGCATTAGCTAGTTAACAAAAACATTTCAAACAGGTCCCAGCCCCCTCGAGTATAAGCCCCCAAATGATGCAATTTTTCAAACATTCCCGCCACCCTCAAAATGCATCACCAAAAGGGGGTTTTCCTAATCTTTAAACTGGAAAATCTTACTCTCCAGACTAATGTGCCATCACTGTAGGAGGCGAACAGGCATGTTTGCAACAGATGCTGTAATGTTTACACTTTTCACTTTGGTCGCAGTGGCCCTTTAATCTTCATGTTTAGTTACCTCTTTAACAGCGTTACTTGCTTCATCAGGATTGAAGGCCACCTGAAAGAGCACAGGCAGAGAAGAGCATTGGTAGAGAAACGTGAAGATTTGAGAAGAACAGGCAAAAGTCAATTTGCTGTCAAACATTTAACTACAGCATCAATGTCAGGAATATGTTTCACAAATGAACCAGAATCTTTGTGTTTCTATGCTTGTTGCTGCAGCATGACCCAGAGCTTAATGTTGACTACCTCCTTTCGTATTAGGTTACGCAGGGTTAGGTCACTTTACTAGTCATCTCTCAGGATAATTCTCGTCTAGCGAAACTACCGCGATGAAATGTGTGGACATTTTGTTTATCAACAAGTAAAACTTGGAATTAGTGACGTAAAACAGTGCTAAATTTGAGAACATCCTTTGGCCACACCCAGAAATGTCTATTGTAACTATAAAACAGCAATTGTATTGGCAAAAGTGGACCCTTTAAAGAATAAAACCGAAAAGAAATCTATTTCCAGCGATATAAATCATCTTAGGTTAGCTGATGAAGTACATATAATTTGCCTTCTGTATTTTAGAGCTCGTCCCTGGGCGAAAAAGATGTCAGCTAAAGTTAGCCAGCTAGCTAGCTAGCCAACGAGCTAGCTAACTAAGTGTAACTATTTCTTAATTATGCGGAGGAATTAACTAACACAAACCAAATACCTCATCTCCGGAATGGTACTCCTCCATAGTTCCCACAAAGATTAAAAAATGTGTAAAGCGTAAAAATCCTTAAAAGAATAGAACTGCTCGCCGGTTACGAGTTGTTGGCTGGCTGGTTGACAACAAGCAAGTCAGACTCTGCGTCAATGTCTACCCGCGTCTGTTGCACTGCCAACTAGTGGTGTTCATCCACACGGGATTAATGATCAATGCGGACAAAAAAGTACAATGAAAAAAAGAATGAATGAAAAACAGACGTAGAATTAATTTTACTCATTACACACTCAATCCAACATGTAAAAGAATATAAGAAAATTCCCACTGGCAATCGAATACAAATGTTATGTTACCCTACTAGGCAAGGGTCTCGAAGAAAACTGGACTAAGCATAAATAAATAATTACTTTAAAACACATTTTTACATTATATGATGCACATCATACAAACAGTCAAATCACTATCTAACATACACGTTATGACAAAAAGCAAACCGTATGAAAGAAATTGTGATTAAAACACACACACACACACACACACACACACACACACACACACACAAGAAATGAAACATAGTACCAAAATTCAAATGGCCCCATGAAGTGCCTTGGAAAATATCCCAACTGAGCAAAACCTCAATGGTTGTATAGTGTTTGCAAGGCACATTATGGCTGTCACTGCTATTCCAGGAGTCAAGCCCCTGCCGCTAGAGGCTGTCATTTGGATATCATACAAGTTGACCATATATTAGCTACATTTTCCTTCTGGGCAAACTATGGTGACCATACATCGTTTTTGTCCAGGACATGTTTTCTTTTTTGCACCTAAACACACGTCTGGTCAGGATTTCTAAACTGTCTAACTTCCAGGATTTGGCTTTGTTTTCATGTTGACATTTGCTTTCTGCAGTCTGCTCTCTGCCACCCTCCTGCCCCCAGTGTCCTCTGTTTTGAAAACCAAAATGTGGACACCCCAGCTAAACCCACAAGCTATGTCTGTACAGGTGCAATTTGTAGGTTACGTTTACTGACTGTTACCCATCTGTTTCTGCACATTGTTTGAGTCAACTGCACGCTACCAATGGAAACGAACGGACCACCAAAGTACCACCACTGACATACCATTATTTTGGTGGTGGGCCATTATCAGCATAGTATTGACACCAATATAGTAATGGTATATTACTGTGTGTTACAATGTTGACTAGTGTAGTGGTCACCAATGCTCCTCCTGAAGTTCCAACCTACATACAAAATGCCCCCCCCCCAGGAGTGGCAAACTCCAGTCCTGGAGGGCCGGAGTCCAGCAGAGTTTGGTGATTTTCCTACTCAAACGCACTTGAATTTTTTCAGGTATTAATTTCTTGGTTTAATTTATGTGTTTTGAGCAGGAAAAATTACCAAACAGTGCTGGACACTGACTCTTCAGGACTGCATTTCGCCACCCCTGGGCTACAGTCTAGGCTACAGTCTACAACTGTTCACCTACAGGCTGTACCAACAAGCATGTGTGTCTAAAAAGGGGCCAGGAAGTGTACAGTTTTAAAAAAAAAACAGAAATACTGCTAGCATGCCACTACCATGCTGGTGTCAATGCTGTGCTAAAAATGGTCTTTCATTTACATGTTATCTAGTGAGTGATGGCCCGTACAGTCCATAACTGTACACCTAACAGATAAGTGTAAATGATAGAACTGCCAGTGAATGTAGAAACAAGTAGATGTACCTAATTAACTTGTGACTCTGCGTTGGTACAAGGTTAGCGTTTACAGATTGTCTTTGTCTTTTATTGCTAAGAACAGAAATTCCTAGCATTAGTCCTGAGGGCACTGCTGGAATCCAGGTTTTTCCTGCTCTAATGCACCAGCCACGGATCCTTTTGTGTACTTAATCTGAATGTGACAGATCAGGGAAACACTAAACTGCAGGGGACATGTCCTTGAGAAAGGGTCTGAAAATGCTGGTCTAATGGGTCCACTGAAGCAATCACAGCAGACTGCACGTGGCTGAACGGGACCGGAGGGGCCGGGGGTTGGGGTCTTCAACACTGGGGCTCTTCCCTGGATCTCCACTGTCTGAACTGCCTGAGGGGGTTTCGCTGGAAGGCTTGGCTGATGTAGTGCTCTCCGCTGGGGCTTCTGCTTTCTCCTTAGTCTGCTTGTCTTTGGTGGAAGACCTCCGCTTGAACAGAGAGAGCTGAAGCCATTAAGGAAGAGAAGGAATAGTAATATAATACATTGTGTACTTACATGTGATGGCAACAATCCAATTATGTAATGATAATAATGATTTTGGAACAACAGCAAATAGCAATCTATTATAATCTACCATTACAATAATTATGCTTTTAGCTGTTGTAAAAAGATTTCAATGTGTCTTAGTGCTTTTTAACCATTTTTAGTATATGTTATAACAATATCACAATAATACCAAAACTATGATAATTTTGGTCACCTCTAGTATGATAGGAAATTGTCATAAGATCTCTGTACTAAGTAGCATTATTCAACAACCTTGACCTGTGTCAGATACCTTGCTGTTAGATCCAAAGAGATTTTTTGGTTTGTTCTGCTTGGCTTCATTTTGGGATTGCGACTTCTCCTCTATAAGTGGACTGGAAGTGTCTTTATGTCCAGAATCTGCAAACATCAAAATCACTTTCATGTGGCTCTTCAGAACAACATCAAAATCACCTTCATTTGGCTTCTCAGAACAACGGAACATGTACTGCTCATCAAAATAATTCTTTCTTTCAAATTTTTCTTTCATAAAAAAGGTATTTTCTTTTGCTTGCATTACAATTTAAGTGTATAATTTAAATCACACAGTATGTCTATAAAATGGCAACTACTAACAGCTAGATACTAGATCTTCAAACTGACCTTTTATTGGTCCATCAGGAACAGTAGCCTCTTTAACATCTTCCTTTTCCTGGATAAAACAGACAAGATTAAGAGACCCTTATTAGTCCCACAACAGGGAAATTTCACTTCCACATTTAACCCATCCGTGCAGTGAAACACCCATATTCACACTAGTAAACTCACACTAGGGGGCAGTTAGCACACTTGCCCAGAGCGGTGGGCAGCCCTATCCACAGCACCCAGGAGCAGTTGGAGGTTGGGTGCCTTGCTCAAGGGCACTTCAGTCACGTACTGTCAGCTCAGGGGATCGAACAGGTGACCTTCTGGTCATATGCTGGTTCCCTAACCTCCAGCCCATAACTGCCAATTATATTAAATACATTAGCAAAACAATAACTTATTTATTATCTGTCTTATTGACCATTGAGCTGTCACAATCTTTTGTTCATATATAATGTAATTTAAATATGAAGCTAATAAACAATTAAGTTTATTTATTACAAACCCAGGGCAAATTTCACACACATTGTACGCACCTTTGTCTTCCCAAACATACTAACGTGGCCGTGCCAATGACTGCAAAAGTCCGAGACCACCTTTCATTAGTCAAAACAGCCATTAAATACAAGTTATTTATTTTTCAGGGGATATTCCTGAAGAAATACGATTTAGATAATCCACTTGCATAAGCAAAGTGAAAGCCAAAAGGAAATAAGTGAAAAAAGACGAGTTTCTAAAATTGGAGCTCAAAAAATGATTGTAAGATACAGGGAAAATGGGACAAAAAAGATGATACTATTGCAAATCCAAAGAAAAAAATGTTGGTATTCTCAGAACCATGGACTGACCATCCCAGAGCCCATACCTCAGCATTACAGAATGTGTTCGGGTTTTAATGCATCATGAGAAGCAAAAATGCAACCACATTCTAAAACTAAACTTTGAAATGTGGAAAAAACACCTCTGCAGAATTCTATAAAAAAGTCTGTAATAAAGGAAAAGGCTGAGCACACTAAAAACTGAAATATGACATTATATTTCTGGTAAATATATGTTTTCCATTATATATTTTCCTTATGTTAAACTTAATGGCTGTTTTGTCTACAGATTAAATAAATGAAGAGTGTTCTCTGCATTTTGCACAGTGCTGTATTTTGTCTTGGGTCACCTGAGGCATTGCTTGGGTTGTTTTGATCTCTTGCTGCTCTACTTGTTCCACAAGCTCTTCTCCATCTTTTTCCTTTTCACATTTTTCCCTCTCCTCCTCCTCTTCATCATCATCATCCTCCTCCTCCTCCTCCTCATCTTCTGTTTGAGCTTCCTCTCCATTTGTCTCATCATCGCTGAGCTCTATGGTTCTGTGGCTATAATCCTGCAGAAGATCATACAGGAAGAACAAACAAAAGACAGACATCAGAGCTTTTGTTTGAACAAGACACAACTGAGAATATAATAAATGATTCCGTGAAAAAGGAAAAAAGTGGAGGCAGGAGTTAAGGCGAAGAGGAAACGAGTGAGAAAGGTACTGAGGAGTTATCACACACACAATACATGAGAAAAAGTTCTCTCTCTCTCTCTCTCACACACACACACACACACACACACACACACTCTCTTTCTCTCTCTCGCTCTCTCACTCACACACACACACACACACACACACACACACACACACACTTTCTCTCTCTCTCTCTCTCTCTCTCTCTCACTCACACACACACACACTCTCTCTTTCTCTCTCTCTCTCTCTCACTCACACACACACAAACACACACACACACTCTTTCTCTCTCTCTCTCACTCACACACACACACACACGTGACACAAGGGTCTGAATTAACACAATCAACTTGTCCACTAAGGGTGTGCATATTAGAGAATACTCACCTGGCCATTGCAAATGCAATCCATTCAGCCTCCTTATTAGAGCACAGCACTTCTGAACATTCAGGCCTAAAATTTTATTAATATTCTCATGGAAGACCACGAAAATATCAACCAACCTCTCACTGCACTCTCTTAATGCAAGAGGACCTGTTGTCTATGGCTTGATTTTATATAAAACATTGATAAATGATGACATACTAGTGAAATAGTGAAATTCTAACCAAATGATGTAGCGATTAACTTGTAAGCCAAAAATCCAACCGATTTTATTAACCGTATAACCAAAATGAAGTGAAAAGTGTTAGCACAACCTAAACAAAAAGAGACAGAACATAAAGAGTAGGAAAAGTGTGAAAAATAAACAACAAAAAGGAAGGAAAGAAGAGGCTAGCAGTTTTGTTCAATAACAGTTCATAAGCAAAGCTTTAATACTGAGAAAAAGAAAACAATCACGTAGGCAGCAAGGTTAAAAATAAAAAAAAATGCATTTCAACCTATGGATGCCTAAGAACAATATGCTGGAGTCAATGGCAGTTTACTGATGTTACCCAAGCAAGGACAAGGCATAGTGAAAGATTTTTTTCAATCTTTTATAAGTCCTAAGGCACTTCAAGCATGAAAAGCATGGAATAAAGGATGTTCAAAGTGAGCGCATATAATGGAAGATGGTTTCAAACAAGCAGAAATGAGGAAAAATGCCATTTGGCAACAAGCAATGGACAAAGATGAGACAAAAAAGTACAGTATAGTGCAAAGGTGCTTCACAGTTACTGTATATCCATCCTGTACCTACACACTTGCCATTTTATTAAGTACACCTGGGCAGGTTGAAGGGCTGCTGTCAAATTTTGCATAGCAATAGATGGGCTACAATCAGTTACTGTAAAATAAACAAAGTGTGCCTACACAGTATGTGTACCTGATAAAATTGCCAATGTGTAGCTACAAGCTGTGTACCTACTTAACTGCCAACTCAATATATGTGATACTGTGAGAGTGGCATAGAGTGGCGCTGAGGTTGTGGACTTATTTCAAGTTGAGGTACTGAGGTAGAACATCGTCCCAAAACTGCCGAGGCTCCTGGGAGTCAGAGTCCGACTGGCTTCTCCTAGCTGAGCCCCGCTGAAGCCTGCTTGACTGCTTGGCCTTCTTTGTCTCTTGCTTTGATTTGGGTGCCTTTTTATTCCCTTTTCCTTTCTTTTTGGGTTCTTCTTCTTCTTCTTCTTCTTCATTTTCTCTTTCTGCTTCTTCTTCCTTTTCCTCTTCCTCTTCTCTTGCTTCTTCATCGTCTTGCTCTCTCTCCTCTTCGTCTTGTTGGTCCTCTTCTTCCTCCTCCTCATTTTCTGCTTCATCCTCTTCTTCCTCATGTTCTTCGCCACTTTCCTCCTCCTTCTCTACTTCTTCAGCTCCTTCATCTGCTTCTTCCTCCTCCTCCTCATTCTCAGATTCTTGATCTTCTTCTGCTTCCTCATCTTCTTCCTTTTCTGTTTCACTGTTTTCTTCCACTTCATCTTGTTTCTTCTCTGCTTCACTATCTTCTTCTGCTCCCTCATCTTCATCGTCTTCCTTCTCTGCTTCACTGTCTTCTTCTGATCCCTCATCTTCATCATCTTGTTCCTTCTCTGCTTCACTATCTTCTTCTGCTCCCTCATCTTCATCGTCTTGCTTCTCTGCTTCACTGTCTTCTTTTGCTCCCTCATCGTCATCTTCCTTCTCTGCTTCACTATCTTCTTCTGCTCCCTCATCCTCATTGTCTTCCTTCTCTGCTTCACTGTCCTCTACTCCCTCATCTTCATCTTCTTCCTTCTCTGCTTCACTATCATCTTTCTCTCCTTCTTCTTCATCTTTTTCCTCCTCTGCTTCTTCCTCTTCACCTGCTTCACTATCCTCATCTTCTTCTTCTCCACTCTCTTTCTCTTCATCTTTTCCACTCTCCTCCTCCTTCTCCTCTCCTTCATTTTCTGTTCCTCCACTCTCCTCCTCTCCTGCCCCACTCTCTTCTCCCTCACTTTCATTTCCACTCTCCATTTCATCCCACTCTTCCTCATCTTCTGCCTTACTCTTCTCTTTCCCCTCTGACCCCTCCTGCTCTTCAGAAATACTATTTTCTTCTTCATCATCTTCTCCTTCTTCCTCTCCACTCTCACTCTCCTTTCTGCTATCCTCCTCAGCTTCACTGTCACTTTCTGATTTGGCACTTTCCTGCTCATCTTCGCTCTCTTTTTCTTCTGATTCTTCTTCCTCTCCCTCTTCACCCGATTCTTTACTGCTCTCTTTTTCTTCGACCTCACTCACTCTGCTTTCATCCTCTTCTTGCTCCTCATCCTCACTCTCTTTCTCTTTTCTATTTATCTCACTCATTTCTTCTTCCTCTCCTTTCTCCACCACACTACTACTCCTTTCTTCATCAGACTCTGCCTCGCTCTCTGCTTGCTCTCTCTCGGTTTCACTTTCCTCCTCCTTTCTCTCTCCCTCGCTTTCCACATTATTGCTCGACGTGTCATTTTCTTCCTCATCACTTTCACTATTGTTTGACAAATCACCCGTCTTACTCTCTTCCTCATCGTATTCAGCACTGCTACTTTCCCCCCCTCCCTTTATCAATCCCTCACATTCTGTCATCTCCCTACTCCCTTCCTCCGCCTCCTCCACCTGTGATATCTGACCACTCTCACCTCCTGATTCCTCACATTCTCTCTCAGTTCTGTCACTTTTCTCCTCCTCTGATAACTTGGCTCCAGACTGGAACTTCGGGGTCTCCTCACTTGAAGGTCCAGGTTCAGGCATTACGTTTATTGTAGCTGATGTTCTTTTGCTTGGTCCCTCCTCTGCAGCTTCTGAAGTGTCAGTGATGGATGAGGCATCTGAGAGAGTTCGTTCAGCAAGTGTATTTGTTCTTGTCCTGCCTGATTTAGTTTGTGGTGCAGACTGTGAGGAGCTGCTAGCTGTTGCTCGGGACACGACCTGGCTAGTGGTCACCTCTCTCAGAAGACGCACAGGACTCTCCGGTCTAACATCTTGAATAAATGAGGTTACCCCCGTGAGAAGGTTTTGCCGCATGGTCTCTGATTGTAATTCTGATTCTGACTTTGTGCTCTTGGTTGCATTGGCTACTGATACAGGGTCCATGGATTGTGCTTTGGTTGTCTTTTGTGTTTTCCTGTTTCCCTTAGAAAGCAAAAGGCTTGGGTCAGGTTTGGTCTTCTTAGTAGGATCCTGTGCTTGAATATGATGTTTGTTTCTAGTGCTGACGTCCCCTGTCCTTACATCTCTTTTGTCATACTTTTTTGATCCTGACTTTGAGTCGGACTCAGCAGTGTCTGGTGATTTGCTTTGCACAATTACTGGCTTACTTTTCACCTTTGATATCTTGCTTTTAGCCTCTACAGGTATGTGTTTTGCCTGTGTGATTTTAGCAGCAACCTCTCTAGGTATCTCTTTACCTGCTTGATCTTCTTTAGGCTTCTTCCTCACCACATTTTCTTTCTCCTCATAGTTTGTTTGCTGCCTTTTGGAGTCTGATTCCTGGTGAGTTTTGGATCCTACTTTGCCTGAATCCCCTTGGCTTGCGAATTTAGCTTTTCCCCTTGGTTTACCAGCCTTAGTGTCAAAGTCTATCTCTGAACGATTCACTTCAGCAGAATGAGGTTTAGTCGCAGGCTTGCTTAGGTCTTCTTGACTTGGCTGGGCTTTTCCTTTAGGCTGTTTAGTAGATTTACTTTTACCTCCAATCTCCATTAGTTGGCTTGGCCCTGCTGTGTGTATGGGTGTGCGAGGCAGAGACTTAGCTCTGCTAATATCAGCCAGGCTCATTGGCTGGGTCTCTTTCTTAGCTCTACTGCTCTCTGCTCTGAGCCTTGTGGGCCTGGTTTCCTTCAAAGCTATCAGTGCATTCTCCTTATCACTGCCCCAGCTCTGGGAACTTTGATAGGAGCTTCTGGAAAGTGGAGAATCCCCAAGCAGTGACTTGCCACTAGGGCTTCTCAGTAATTCAGTGGGCAGGGCTTTATGCCTAGTAGAGCGAGCAGGGTGTTGTGCAGGCTGTCCCACCTCCTTACCGTGCCTTTTCACAACCTTAACCTTCTTCTATCCAAGACCCCGGAAGCAGAGGATAAAAAGAGGGAAAGCGTTAGAGAGAGAGAAACGAATGAACATGCTGAGCAGGATGAATGAGTGCAGAATGAACTCAAAGCTGAAAAACAAATGAGAAAAAAAAGCACAGTCAATGGCAAAGACAGAGCCATGGTAAGGGAGGAAAAAACTGAAAATAAAATGACACCCTTGGGAAAAGTCTAGACAATTAAATTACCAGTGTTAAATGGACACATATGGATTTTAATTTACTCCTACGAAGTCTGGCCTGCTTATTTTAAATCCAGTGTGGCGGAATTGACAAGGACAACAAAACATATTAATAGGTTCTGTAATGTATGAACCAAAACGTTTCTTTCCACAGCACATCTGTATCTCATCATAAAGGCATTTATTAAGGCATACAGCTAGCTTTTATGCCAGAAACCCTACTGAATATCAGTGGTCTTTAAAAAAAATGTTAGGTGTTTTAAATCACTTTCATTTAGTATAAATAAAAAAAACAACTAAAAACACTTAGCTAAAGGTTACGTATTTAAATGATTCCCTTACTTAAACATCAGCAACTGTAATCAGCCTACTGCCTACCTTCTGAACAGGAGACAATGTAAGACTCTTCTCACCAGGATCCATCTTTATTACATGAGTCTGTCAGTAAAGAAAGAAACATGAACATAATCCATCAATATTTTTCTTTTCAGTCATTCCATGAATCTTGTACAACAGATAAATATCTGTACATTTCCAACCAATGACATTTTTAAAATGTGGAAAATTACATAAGAAAATATCAGACAATTTTAAGACAAACTGTAAAATATCACAGTATTAAGTGACTTAAGCACTCACTAAATTTAATAAGTCAGTGGTTTCTCCCAAATCCTTCACACTTTCACTGTCCTCACTGTTTTCAACTGCAGAACTTTTCCCATCAACTTCTTGCTCTTTCATCACCTTGCCTTTCAAAATAAATACACAAAAACACACAAAGCTGTAGAATACATAAATAATACTTGAGTACTGATAAACACTTTCACCTGGTATGTGAAAAAAGCTATCAATCTCCAGAATTGTGGAAAAACTGTTTATTACCAGTGCTGTGGTGAAGGCCACTTCTCTGAAGGCCATTGGAGTCCCTCTTGCTGTGTAACTCCGTGGGGGGCAATCGTGGGGGCAAGGTCTGACTAGACACAGGTAGAGATGCACTGAGGTAACCTGAACTAAGAGGTGGAAGAGTCCGGAACATCATTCTAAATTGTTCTGGAGAACGCTCCTAAAAGCAAAAAACAGGAGATTTGACTTTAAATGTAAAATGTATCCTTAAATGTTAAATGTAATCCTTGAAATTTGAACTTCTGCTGTAATGACTGCTTCTGCATATAAATGTGGTTCAAATCTAAATTTAAATGAGTTCCCTGTTGTTTGTTGCTTAAGAGTACACCGTGTTTAAATTAACCCTTACTGACAGAGAATAATCATGTATAATTTCTGACTTCTATTTCACAATGACGCCCTGTGACGGGCTTGCGATCTGTTCATGGTGTTTCCTGCCTTCTGCCCAATGAATGATAAATGGCTTAGGGGGTTTGTTAGCGTCATACATATGAGACCATGCTAACTGCTCTCCATGAACTAGTGTTAATTTACTGTTAACTGTGATATAATTACAATTAATCTTTTCAGCCATGCTAATGTATTCCTTTAAGGTTCCAATAAGGTGAATATTTAGCTAAGTAATGGTAATTAAGTGTTATTTCAGTAGGAAAGCTTCAAAGGAGGCTGAGTTGACCCACCCTTTCTCGGCGTCTGACACGGGCTGAAAAGCTTCTATTCAGGTTGGTCTGAGTGACTGTCTCTCCAAGCAGTTCTGTGTACGACTTCTCAAGATAGTCCTCAGTGATATCGTCATCCTCTAGAATCACGTCTTCTGACCCTTTGATCCGAGGTTTGGCCAACACCAGCATGTGACATCCGCCACATGTAACCTAGCACAGATATAAAACACACACATATTACAGATAACGAAAATATCCAGAAGCTTGATGCATAAAGCTGAAAATGCAAGATATAGAGATTATATTAATGAAACTCACAGACTCCACACTATATTTGAGGAATCGTGGACATAAAGTTGGTTTGAACTGGTTGGTGAAATTCTCCTCTCCTAGACCCAGCTTTCCATGACGGCCATCACCAAATGTGTACAGAAGGCCACTAACTGAAATGAGCACAACAGATTAAAAATACAGGAATTCTTTTCAAATTTATATTCCTACAACTGAACTGAATATATTTTCAACAGTATTGCACAAAACTATATGGATAATATCCAAACACATAGTCACTTGAAAAGAACAAAAGGACGAAATAAACCATTTATGGACCATTATACTGAACTAATTCAAACTGTGGTCCCACCATTTTTTTAAAAACAAATTAAAAAATAATTTAAAAACAAAACAATTAAGTATTTAGACCTTAAATATTTTGGGGGATTATGTTATGACCTAGTTTAGCTCGAGGCATTAATTGAGATACTAATATGCTAAAAATATACAAAATTATAATTTTGGGGTACTTTCTATTAGGAGGTTGCTGTCCCAAACCCTAACCCTCATCTCACTTGTGAAAAATTTTTTTTTTTAATATCTTTTTATTCAAGTTAAGGGTTTAGGTCATAAGTTTCATTTTAAATGTAAAAATTCTGTCCCGCATTTTTATGTTGCTGCTAAACACAAATAGTTTTAGTCCACAGATAGAGCCTTATTTTAGCTACACCCTCGACTTTTAGAGCAGGAAGTGAGACTGCATCCCTGTCATGGCCAGATGGTGAACAGTTAGAACCCATTTTTTTAAGTAAATGTGTCCCAAATTCTAAAACTCAGTGTGTAACCTTAAGAATTATCACTAGTGAAACACATATTTTCAGCAAATAAGCAAACTTTTTTGTGTGTTTTAATGAAAGATTTTATTATTTTATGTGTGTACAACTGTTCAAAGCTGTGTCCCCTAGTCATGTACTGGCTATTGTTTCTGAGTTATGCTCAAAATTAGCTAAAATTGTCACTATCAAATCAGTCACTACCAAAACATTTCGTAAAGTTTCTGTAGTGTTATTATCATTTGTAGAGATGTTAGAATGTTCAATGATTTACTTAATAAAATAAGTATAATTAAGGTATAAAGTCATTCAAAGCTAAAGGATTTTAGTCTAAAGTCCAAGTCAGTTAAAAGTCTGAAATGTGTTTTGACCTCTGACTTTGAGCCAATTTGGCAGAATTATCCAAATAAATCATACAGAATAAATTCTAGGCAATAAATAAACAAAGCAAAATAAATAAATTAAGCAAAGACAAAATAAATAAATTAAGCAAAGATTAAATGAAGGCATAAATTAAACATGAAATCAGTAATCACCCAGTTTATTGTTTTCATTTTGGCAGATCTATGTTGCAACTTTATGACATAAATTAGGTGAGGGAGATAGGTGCACTCGCATTGTATTTGAATGCCGCTGCTACTCCTGTCCCAAAAAGACGTAAAATAATTATACATGACTCATTGTGCTCAATAGCTAGCTGCCTCTTATGTTCAATGTAGCACTTTGATTCCTGTTATATAAATAGGTAATTGATTTAAAATTGCAAATTTTAAAATGAAAGTTAGACCCATTAAAAGGCAAATAATGTTGTTAATATTACAAGTTTGGCTAACAGAAAGTGTTGGTAATGTGCTGATGTGTTTCAACTGATTATTTACCCCACAAAGTGTGAGCTTCGAATTTAAAGGCTAAAAATCAGGCAAAAAATTGGCCATTTGCAAGTTTGGCTGTAAAGAAATCAAAATTGAAATTGGCCATAAAAAATTACCACATTTCTAATTAAAGCATTCCATTTATGTATCTGGGAAAGTGCTCTACTGTGAAAGAAAGCAACACAGTAGATAAGCAGACAAGCAGAGGGCTACATTCAGTTCTACCGCGCAGCCATATGGTACCTGTAAGAACTGCTGTATGATTTTCTCCACATGCTATGTGTTTTACTCTCCCCTTGCGGAAGTGCTCCACCACTCTGGCCAAACGAGACTCGAAGATGAAGGTGCCATGACCTAGTTGGCCAAACTGACCCAGGCCAAATGAATATAGATAATTCTCTGAGTCAGATCACACACACACAAACACACAAACAAAGACACACACACACAGATTAAGTAGGCAACAAATCCTTTCAGGGTAGATGGACACAACTTTAAATGACATTATATAGACAGAGTGATGGGACTTGGTCACCCTTAACAACAGTTTGACAATTCTGCTCAAAAGACATGACTTCATACCAGTGAAAGCCACTGTGTGTCCTCCACCACAGGCCACCTGTAGCACCCTTTCAGAAATGCCCTCTACGTGCTGAGGCACTTTGTGATTGGGCAGCTGAGCTGGGGACAGTCCCAGCTTTCCACAGTCCCTCTCTCCAAATGTGAACAAGGCCCCATCCACTGGAACACACAACACAACTGCCACTTAGTAACATGGCTTCCAGTCCAGCATGACCAATGCATTTCATCCATTCAAGTTAATGAATGAAATTTTCAGTTCAAGTAATGCAGTCCTGGCCTTCAGTGGCTGATAAACGTCAAGCATTGTCAACCACTGAAGGCCAGTGAACAGACGTCAGCAGTAATGGATTGTGAGCTGGTAAAGTCTATGGCAAAATGGAGCTGCTTCCCACCCTAGTTTTTTTAAGGGGAAATTAAGGCAGTGGTCCAAGATTTTTGTTAGGGCTACACTATACAGACAAAATGCCACATTGCATTTTATTTTTATATTGCCACATATTGCAACTGTGATGTGCTTTCCAAGATACTTAAACATTTTAGTGAACCCTTGATTTCATATGCTGAAAGACTGGCCTGTATTATTTTTTACCACAATTATATAGGGATGGGTGACAAAACAAAGGAAAGTAAGGTGTTGGTCTACCATGTGCTACCAGAACAGCCTAAATGATCGTTGGCACAGATTCTTCAAGTCTCTGGAACTGTACTGGAGGGTCAGAACACCATTCTTTTTACAGATATTTCCTCAACTGGTGTTTTAAAGATGGTGGTGGAGAGCGCTCCAAAATGCCCTCCACAGCAATCATCGGACACCTTTATTGTAGGGGTCAAGCAATTAGGTCTGTATGCCACACATGCATTCCCTCACTTGTGGAGAATATGGTGAAGGACAACTCAGCTGGCCAGATCACTTTTTTCCACTTCTCTGTAGACAGTGCCTGTGGTTTTTGTACCACTGAACTCCGAAATGTGCATTTGCCTTTGTAATGATATCTTTTTTTTATTTATAGAACACTTTCCATACTAGTGGCAGCTCAAAGTGCTTTACAGACAGGTGATAATGTTTGACAGTAATGGAAGTAACTATGCGTGTTAATTTAAAATCCTACAGGACAAGGACAGATCAAATTTAAAAGATAAATATCAAGGAAACACCGAATTTTAACTGAACACTAAGCATGACTGTCTAATAGAAGGTGAAATTGAGTTCCACAGTTTAGAAGCATAATAATCAAGGCCTCTCCATGTATTCTGTATTTTATGGAAAGTATTTGCAGAAGGCCAGTATCTGCAGACCTAAGATCACGTGTTGGAACATAAACAGACAGGCATTCTGTGAAGTAAGCGGGTGCTGGGTCATTTAAAGCCTTAAAAACTTTAAAGTCTATCCTAAAAGATACAGGTAGCCAGTGCAATTCTTTCAAAATGGGAGTGATATACCTCTCTTTTCTTGTTTTAGCTAGGATCCATGCTGCTGCATTCTGTATGAGTTTAGAGGATGTACTATATTCTTAGGAAGCCTAATAAGAAGAGCATTAAGCATTTCTGCTTGTAACAAATGAATGAACAGGGCCAAACCTTAACAATGTTTCTCAAATGATAAAAAACTACTCTGGTTTTTACATGCGGTACAAAACAGAGCTCAGAATCTAAGATTACATCCAGGTTTCGTACTTCAGCTTTGGTATGCAAAGCTAAAGAACATATCTTCTCACAACACATTTTTTAAAGAGGGGTATATGCACTGCATACTATAATATCCCTTTCTAAGTAGTTGTGGACAGGCTGTTCTTGCTGACACAGTGTGATCACGTCCTGCATTGACATTCTCACAGTAGGAGTTGTAGCCAAGATGTTGCTCTTCTGCTTTTCCTTACAAATCGTACTAATGAATGAGCATCACAGCCATTGAATGTGTGCTTTTGACCACAATTTCCAACACAATTTACTGATGTCATTTTAGTCACTGTCCCTTTGAAACACTACCCAGTTGAGCAATGTTTATGATTGAAGCTTATACCATCAATTCCCCAATAACGAACCCTAGATCTTGTCCTCCTGCGATCTTGATCCAAAATTGAGGTAATTTTCATACGTCAACAACCATAGTAGGATGTTTATTAAATTATGTAGTTCACCTTTCTGAAAGCATCTGTATTTGTTGTTTCCCCACTCATTTATTAAAATATTCCTTCCTTTTCCTTAAATTTGTCACCCATCTGTATCCATGTGAATGCCAAACACCCAAAGAACACTTGCATCTTAGCTTTCTATCTTTGCTTCCTCCATCTAGTCCACATGAAAAAGTTCTTAAAACATTACTATTATTCATCATCTAAGAATACCTATTTTACACTGAACCCAGGACTATACTGAACTGCAGAGCTGTATGAACTATGCCACTATAAGTGTTTATACCTGTAACAAAGGCAGAGTGGTAATAGCCACAGGAAACCCAAGCCACTCGTCTCCCGACAGAAAGCTCCCGAGGAGTCACAGCACCAGCCTCCTTACCCAAACCAATCTGGCCTTCAGAGTTATCACCCCACACATACAGCTTTCCATCCTCTAAGAGAATACAGCAAAAAGAGCGAGCATAATCCAGAGAACCAAATATTAGGGACACAGAGTAACCACACCATTGTGCAGAGCTGTAGTTAGCAGCTCTGGCCATAGAAGAGGCCCAACTTTTTAACAGGGCTTTAACGCCTAGAAGTCAAGATTACTGCTGGAGATATGAAAAGCGTGGTGTCATTGGATATTAATTTATTCTTACTCGTAGCTCATTAAAGCAAATAAAGAAATCAGTTGAAGCCATGTTGATGCTACAGAAAGAGCCAAAAACACTATTCCATAGGTTATACAAGTACTAGTTTAATGTATTTCATACATGTTAACAAGTCTTTTACAGGGGCAATGCAACCAGGGCTACACAGATTGTGTACCTTTGACAATTAACAATCAAATATAATTCTTTACAGTCATATGCAAAAGTTTGGGTGCCCCTGGTCAAATTACACGTTTTATTTGTAAAAATACGTTAACACATAAAGAAAACACAGTTCTGCACATTTTAATAGACAATTATGATTTATTTGCTGAATTTAACACAGTAGGAAGAAAATAAAACATAAAATGTGTCCAATGCAAGAGTTTTAATACATTTTAGTATTTTCAAGTTAAACTCAGCAAATGAATAGAAATTGTGCACTAACTAAAACTGCCTTTTTTTAAGTTTGTTTAGCTTCTTTTTAATTAGAAAATCAACAAAACATGTAATTTGACTAGGGGTGTTCAAACTTTTGCGTCCAATTTTATATGCAGGAAGAAGTCTTACGCATAAGGGCAGCTGACGTGTTGGAACCTGCAGCAAGCATTTTGATTGGACCATGTTTCGTGAAGAAATCAACCAGCTGGAATGAGGCTCTCTCCTCGTAGTCTCCAAGACCAAGCTGGCCTTCATTATTCCCACCAGCCGCATACAGGTTACCACATGCTGATGACACAAGCCAGACTAGTGTCACATCCCCCGACCCTTGTGTTGCCTTGCCAACCTTATCAACAACACTCATGAAGAAAATTACTTCTTTTGTATGCCTGCACTGTTAGCACAATGTGACAATGCTGCTGATTTTGCTCTCTGTAGGAAAATGTAGTAAGGTGCACAAGCATACTTACATGTGTAAACAAGCGTATGAGTCCTTCCACAAGCAACAAGTTTTACTTTTTCAGATTTCAAAGCTTAAACAAAAGAAGAGATTCTGCATTAGCTGCGAAAGGGTTACTGAACATGCCACAGTCTGAGATTTCAGAACACCAAGATGACTATGCCATCTGATTTCCCATATAGGTGAAAAAGGAAAAAGTTGCTTGATGAGTGGCCAAAGAGACTTTTTGTAGAAAAAGACTATTTCTCAAGACAAACAAGTACAATTAGCATTGTCTCAGCAATCACATGCCTAGAGCTCTAGGATTAAACAAGATTATGGACCACTCCAGATTGGGATTAAGAGGAACTCAGATCTGTGGCTTTGTTTTTTCCTGTTTCCCTCCATAAGAATTAAAATACTATACAATGCTAATTAATATTTTATTATAGTAAAAAGGCTCTATTCAACTGAATTTCATGAACATTGCACTGACTGATTTAGCAGCTGCTAGTGACAGACAGCAAGAGTGCCCTGTATACTCTTTCTGATAAAATAATGCATCAGACAATCACATACCTTTCACACATGTAGGTTTATTTACACTGGTCTTTGTTCCAAGACCTAACTGCCCCCAGTTATTACTGCCAAACATGAACAGCTTTCCATTCTCTAAATGGGACAAAAACAGAGATTAGAAAGTTATAGATATTTAATTAGACATATTGGATTCATAATACTCCAGGACTTTACAATAATGCTTAAAGAATGATCAAACACAGCCTGTGCATACCTGTAATGAGTGCCGTGTGCTCATCTCCACATGCTATCTTCGAAGGGACATCATTTTTCAACCAAAATTTGCTGGGGGCATTGTCTGCAAATTTACTCTTGCCAAATGTGAAGACAGCCCCTGAATCTATAAATAAGTAAGGCAATAACTTCATAAAGGCATTTCTTTACCGTCCATTTCAGACTCAAAGGCTCTGGTGATAAATGTATTCTTTGTCTGCAACTATATGATCTGAATTTTTTTTATGTGACACATTAAGACAGAGAGACGTTAATGTAGAGGTTTAGTGATTTCTTATTCACTATGAAAACTATTCAAGATAGATGTTCTTCAAACAAACAACAACAAAAAAGGAATTACATTTGATGCACAGTACATATGAGTGATGTGGCAGAAATACACAATATATGGCATGCATAACTTTATATAGCTACAAAAAATACTCTCAAAACTACAAATACAATTATTTTTACTCAACGTCTCACATACTGCACTGAATCCAATTAGACAGGACTCATGGATACTCATGTAATGAAGCAGAGTTGCTCAGTGTTCTTTAAGTGCTGATCATATCTACTACATACTTAGAGACTCCTCCGATATATATTGCGACATAATTAATCACGATAATGATGAATATTGTCATATTTCCACCTCTATCATCTTGTAATTGCTTTGGTGGTCAATACGGCACGTAAAGCAGTCATGCAAATACGCTAGAAAACGGACGAGAGAGAGAGAGAGAGAGAGAGAGAGAGAGAGAGAGAGAGAGAGAGAGAGAGAGAGAGAGAGAGAGAGAGAGGCGTGACCACATGGCATGGTTGCCCCTGACAACACATAGCCAGCTATTTCTCATCTCATCTCAAATAGCTCGCTATATTTCAGTACAATGTGAAATGGTAGCTAAATAACTAACATAATTCTAGCCAAAAGGTTAACTTAGCTATCCTAATCATGACACAGATTCTGGAACGCAATGCACTCCCATACGTACCGTTACTACCATCTAAGTTAGTTAGCTGGTTAGGCTAATTCAAGCGGAGTTAATGTAACGTTAAATGTTAGCGAACTGGCGCAGCGCTAAAAAACACTAACGTCTGTTGGACTGTAACTTAAAAGAAAAGCAATAATAAAGCAATGTATCCTACCAGGTATTTCCTCCCCGGCCTCTCCGGCCATTGCTACGCTGTTAATGAGCTTATGCGCGGCGCTGTCTGTCCGCCGAGTTTTGGCAACCCTCAGCCAAAATAAACGCCACATCCGGTTCACTGGCGTTCACTCAGCGGAAATGGAACCATTCCTCTCTCGCCTCCTCTTCGGCTCCGCTCAGCGAGCACTTCTCACGATGTGACGTTATTTTGCCGAACAAACTAGCCTCGAAAATGTTTTTTATTTCATAAACGCGCTTCGACTCTCTTTGTCGAGATGAAACGCACGTGAATGCACCTCGCAGTTAGCTTGGAGGCTAGCAAGCTAACTGGGTCTAAGGCCACCAATGAAGTGTTGGTTAAATTGACGAGTTTCTCATTTTTAAAGTCGCGTTTTTGCTTGCGAAGAATGGAAGGTGTACTTTACAAGTGGACCAACTACATGACAGGTAGCTAATAGAGGCTTTATTATTGTTAATAATATTTGTCACATGGGAAACTGTTGCCATAACATCGAGCCTGTCAGGTTATAAACTTTTATGTAGCTGCGACCTATTTTTGAATATATGGCACTCCATAAGAGTGTTTGGGTAAATGACGTTAAACAGTGTATTTAAGTTTATTTTACTGTTGTTCTGGTGAGTTTTGATTGCTTGTATTGATTATGCCTGTTTTGTCCCTGTCACGGTGGTCTGTGTGAAGAATTTTACTGTTGCTTTACTTCATATAACTAGCTTGTAAAAAGAAAGGGAAGAGTGAAAAATTCTTTGGTCAGTACTTTAGCGGAATCTCGATAGGCCAGCACTTTTCCTTTTCCTTTTGACTGACCGCGAGCAGAGATCTGCTGACCTGTTTAGTTTTTTTTTTTATATGATCATATCGGTTTTTCTAATGTTTGCATGTAATGTTAGCAAAGTTCTCACCAAATGACAGTCGAATAGAGAGTTATATAACAGGCAGCCCTTACTAAAAGTGGGTAGCTGCAATTTGGAGGATGTGAACTGAAATGCCTTCTTTTATGTGTGTTGTTTTAGGATGGCAGCCACGGTGGTTTGTTTTGGACAATGGAATAATTTCATATTACGACTCCCAAGATGATGTCTGCAAAGGCAGCAAGGGCAGTATAAAGATGTCAGTGTGTGAAATTAAAGGTAAAAGAATTTTATCCATTTATAGCTTATGAAAGCTTATGTGTACACATAAGTGTTGCTTGTACAAGCAGAACTTTTTTTTTTCCAAGGATTATTGCCCATCAACTAAAAGAGTTCTGCAGAGTTAAGAAGCTGGCCTAATTCTTTTGTTTTCCAAACTTCCTCATTCTCGTAAACTAGTTCACCAGACCGATAATACGAGGCTGGAGCTCATCATACCAGGAGAGCAGCATTTTTACGTGAAAGCAGTAAATGCAGCTGAGAGACAGAAATGGCTTGTGGCTCTGGGGAGCTCCAAGGCTGGGCTCATCGACACAAGAACCAAAAAAGAGAGAGGTGGGACATTCACAGTGCATGTGTTACCCCTACATTTTCCCTGCATGTTTTTAACATTCTCTGTATTCTCACCACCTACTTCTCTCTTTCTATCTTTGTCTATGTTCCTAATCATGTGAATAAAGTTTAAACCAAAATGAGTTCTAAAAAATGTGAAATGATGTACCTACCTCTTGCAGAACTAACAGAGACCACTGAGTCTTTGAAAACCAAGATGTCAGAGCTGCGTCTCTACTGTGACTTACTAATGCAACAGGTTCACACCATTCAGGAGTCAGTGGAGCAGGAGGGAGACCACTCAGAGGTTAGACACCAAATTTGAAACTGCCTTTCATTCACATTCACAAGGGCCCATATACTGCGTTTCCCTTAAATATTGTATTTTCCATTAAGGTTCTCTTATGTCATTTGTGTGGTTGTATGTATCAAAAACAGTCAAAAATAAATAAGTTTGCACGAATTTCCCAACCTCTCTTTTTCCTTTAGAATTTATCAGGATATTTTGAATATTGTACCTTTAAGACATCTGATTGACCCTGTATTCTGACTGATTAAAAACGCGGTCGGGGCTGAAATAGACTTTGTCACTTCATGAATTAATTAATGGGCGGGGCTAAACTGTTAGAGTCTGAATAGTAGGATATATTTATATGTGCTTGTTTTGGTGACAGCACAAAAACTATACATTTTAAACAGGCTGTTTTTGCATCTCAATTTCTATAAATGGTACATTTAACAAAACTTTAACAATATATGCACATACGTTTAAGTCTTTTTCCATGATATTGGCCCTTTCAAGGAACTTTTGACTGAAATGCAAAGATAGTAAGTGGATGGAATCTGGGACCTCCAATTAGTAAATTCACATAACATGTTTTTCATGATGCTAATTGGGCTGATTAGCCATGTAAACTTGTGATTTTGGAACAATTTATTGTATATTGTTTTACATTGTTAAATTTGTATTTTTGTAGCACAGCAAATATAATTAAGCATTTGCATATAGAGAGGGCATGATGATACTTATGATATTTTATATCATAAAGTATCATATACTGATACTGATATCGACAATGAAAACTTCAGTATCAATACTACATTATTTCTTTAGAAACTACTAGAAATCTCTAAAATGAGCTTTTTTTTAATTAAGCACTTCACACAAGATGAGCTATCATGCTCAAAGTACTCAAACACTCTACTACCCCACAAGAAGAAATACATGGCTAACAACATATCACTGAATGTGACTGTGTGCTATTTCAGGATAGATTGGATTCATTCTTTTTACCTTCCGATATCAGCAGGAAATTCTGGAACAGATATCACCCAATGTGCTGTTAAAATAATTTTTTTTTAAATGTTTTTCTAATAGTCACTGTGGCATTTGTGAGATACTCTCACATTGTTTACTGTGTTTATGCTGAATGAATATTTTCTCTCTTTCCTTTTGTTCTTTTTTTTGGCTGTTTTCCCAGACAAGGAATGAGGCTTCATCTTTGCTGAGCGCCACTTGTAATACCTTTATTCAGACCTTGGAGGAATGTATGAAGATTGCCAACTCAAAGTTCCAGACAGACATGTTGCAGTCAAGTCCTTCAGACCCGTTAATGTCCCCTGTTTCCCCCTCTCCCATCCAAATGGCGAGGGTAAAAAACAAATCTACACTTTAAAAAAAAAAAAGACAGAAAGAAAAGGTGCCACAAAGTGTTCTTAAAGCAATACCATAGAAGAACCCCTTTTGGTTTCTTAAGGAAGTTAAGTTTGAAGAGATTTGTGACTGTAAAAAACCTTTTAATTGTTTGAATAATCTTCGCATAATGTAAAGGTTCTATGCCTTTATGTTATGTGGTCTTTGCACATCTCATTTACAAAAATGATTCTCCAAAGAACCATCCATTAAAGGGTTCTCTAGGGAACTAAAAGCGGTTCTTGTGTGGCACCTTGCAAAATAACGTTTGTGGCATGTTTTATTTATCTGTTTATCTGTCTATCTGTCTGTCTCTCTATTCATTTGAGTAATTATGCTAAACTAGAAAAAAACATATTTATATTTTCCCTTTTCTCTTTACTGTGTAGATGAAGCGGTCAATTAGCCATCCAGGCACGTATAGTTATGACAGGTACAGTATACACAAAACAACTTTTTTTGTTAGGTTTTTTATTTCATTACACAAAGTGCTTGCTACTTATATTGATACTCTGTGTTAGTGTGTTGGTACACTCTTTCTCTTTTTCCTGCTCTCAAGGTCAAGTGTGCCGAAAGAGTGCATGACAGTACAGAGGTCGTCACAGAGACGCACACGGACATGCTCAGATACAGAGGCTCTTAGTGACGGTGGTACAGAGGAGATGGAGCGTGAGTCAATACTCCTGCATGCTGTTTTTTGAATGTTCATTATCTATTTATGATATTTGTAGTAATGTTTTGTTGTAATAATATGTAACAAAAACAGTCATAATTCCTTCATAGATGACCATCTTCCAACCTGTGTTTGTCCCTTAGAATTAAACAGGCTGTTTTTGTTACCGGGCCTTGAAAGCTAGTATATGTAGATGATCTCTGTTCTGATTGGTCTCCCTGCAAAAAAAACAGTCCGAGCTGAAACCTCTTATAACTTCAGCTTTTGTGGCCCGGGCTAAACTGCTGTAGGGTGAATAGGCAGATATAGAGTCATATACAAAGATTTGGTGCCCCTGGTCAAATTTAAATTTTTTGTTCATTTTCTAAGTGAAAATTTGTGTGCACATCCTCTACAGCAGGGGTGTTCGGTCTTATTCACAAAGGCTGGTGTGGCTGCAGGTTTTTGCTCCTGCTTTGTTGGAATGGAACCCTTGCTGGCATTTTACAGAGAACACACTTTTGGACTGTTTATTTGGCGAACATATTGGGCTTGGGGAGGGGAAATAAATTGTGCCCTGTGCAAACATTACGTACATACTGTCCACTCTATTAGACACACCTACCTTGTTGGTCCACCTTGTAGATATGAAGTCAGAGACAGTAACTCATCTGTTGCTGCACAGTTTGTGTGGGTCATCCTCTAGTCCTTCATCAGTGGTCACAGGATGCTGCCCACAGAATGATGTTTTCCAGATATTTTTTGTTGGTGGGCTATTCTCAGTCCAGCAGTGACACTGAGGTGTTTAAAAACTGATTCACTCAGACCAGCACAACACACACTAACACACCACCACGTCAGTGTCACTGCAGTGCTGAGAATGATCCACAATCCACATAATACCTGCTCTTATTATGCAGAGAAACAGATGGACTACAGTCTGTAATTGTAGAACTACAATTGCACCTCTATGGTAAGTAGACCTGATAAAATATACAAAAAATATGGAAACGTAGGAGTACATTGTGGCTGGTCAATGTATATTCTCGGCATGACAGTACGATTATGATTGTGTTGGCATACACATAATCATAAGAACACATAACATCCCATTTTCCTCCTCACCTCCCCCTCCAGGCAGTGTTGACAGATAACCGAATCAAGCTTTTAAACAGTACATAAAAAATAAATAAATAACACATATATACATAAACATACATACGCCATATACATATCAAAACATAGCTTCATGAAAACAAATGGAAAAGAAAAAAGGAAAAAAAAGATACATAGATGGGTTAAATAGCGGGACTTCTCTTAAAATGCAAAAACAAATAGATAACTCTAGCAAGGGCCTAGTAAACACTCCACTGATTGGAGAGCCTTCTTCAAAGCATTAATAGTTCTTGACTGAGCCCCATGTGTCCAAGCAACTGAAAGCTCCAAAGAAATAATATCAAGAGCAGTCAAAATCCATTGCTGTCTTGAGATGGAGTGAGAAGGATTCCATTGATTGATCAACAATTTTTTGCAGCTGTCAAAGTACAGAGCAACAGTCGTTTCTGCTGAACTGAGAGCTTTAGAGAAGAAAAAAGAAAAATAGATGCTGAGCATGGAACATCATGGTCTAGCAGGACTGTAAGATCAGTGGCAACCTGATGACAGAAATTAAGGACCTTAGAACAAAATTTTTTGTACTTGGTGTAAAATGTAAATCAGCAGGCTCTGACCACTGCTGTATAAGACATGTTATCTTATTTTAATTTAGAAAATCAACAAAACTCAAACCTTTGCAGATGACTGTGTGAATAAGTTCATCAAGGAAACACTGAATTCAAAACGGACTGTTTTTGCTGCGTAGTTTCCATAAATACACTGTATTGATATGGGAGTGAATTGTTTTCAGTTGAGGCCAAGGGTGTCCAGTCTTGTCTGCAAAGGGCTGGTGTGGGTGCAGGTTTTGTTCCAAACACGCAGAGCACACTTGATTCCACTCATATAATCAGTCTTCAAACAACCGATCAAGTGTGCTCCTGCTTTGTTGCAATGAAAACCTCCAGCCACACCAGCCCTTTGTGGATAAGATTAGATAGCCCTGGTGTAGGCAGAAGCAGTTGTCCATATCTTCGGTGCTTGTCTTTCCATGTTTCTTTCCTTCAGTTCCTTTATTATTGTTTCTTTCACTAAAGGTCTTGTGCTGTTCCCCAAAGCCAGCCTAAACGGTGACGCTGCGACAGTCATCCCTGAAGAGATCAGTACGTGCACCCGCTTTGGATCGGAAACGGACACTCCAGAGTCAGACCTGTCGCTTTGAGCTTGGCGAGCAAATTTTTTAGGGGTAGAAAACCTGAAGGAATACTGCTGTGCAGCTACTGTTCGCAGCGTGCATTATTGGTGTTTTAGGAAGTATTATTTCTTCAATGAAGCATTTCGTTGCACTTTAATAATGAGAAAATTGCAGAAAAACACGTCCAATCTGAATGTTTGTATTCTTCCAGGTATTTTAAATTGCTCTTTGTTTGCCAAAATGTTGTTTTTGGTTTGTGATACATGATTCATTGCCATAGCCCTTCAGTGAAGAGTATAGAAATTCACTTTGGATTTCATAGGTGATGTGTAGCCTACTTTTGTTTTGTGCAGAGAACCTTGATGAAAAGGTTTTTGTTACAGTGCCAAGGAACTGTGTGTACTGACATTTAACTTTGCTTTTTTCTTGCTTTGTCGCTCACTTGGCATGCTCCAGTGTTCACTAGTTTATTATGCAAATACACACTTTATTTATTTTCAAAAGTTGCCAGACTACTTTTCCTGTCACATCCCCCTCCATAAATGATTTTTGCCTTAAAATTGAATCTTCGCATGGAGGAATTTGATGTACTTATAAATGTAATGTGAAAAAGATGCAGTAAAAGATATAGGATGATTTGTTGTTTTTACTTTTATTTATTTTGTACATAAATACTTCTGAAATTTCTGCATAACAGTGGTGAGAGGGAGGCATACTGCATGCCAAATCCAGCTAGATATTCTCTGCTGGATGTTTTGAGACCATTACTTTCCCAGATTCTTCATACAGTGCATTTGTAGCTACCAGATTTTAAAGGCTTTACCATTTACTTGATCTCTTTTGTGGTTTTTCAGAGGCTATTTGTTCTAGAGGTATTATATTACACTGTCAAAGCGTTTGTCCTTAAGAGTTCTGCTAAAGATTCACAAGTATGAATATTACAAAAACCATTTATTTTCAGCCGAAATGGCCACTCTATTACATACTCATTTCACAGAAAGATAAAACTGAAATAATGAGGGCTTCGAACACCAGAACACCAGACATGCTGTTCCCACTTGACCTACGAGAATCCTTGTTTTTGTTTTTTTCTTTACAGATAATAATTAATAAGGAGCTCTTATAGCAGCTCCATAAGAATAAAGATGATTCGGAGCATTGATGTTCAGGGTTTTACAGAACAAAGCGACAGACGAAGGAAAAAGTATTTGAAAAACAACCAAGGCCAAAGCAGCTTTTAAGTACTTTTGACTGAGTTGTGTTCATATATTACCAGAAGCGTTTCACTGATGTGATTTTAACTACTTAAACTATGTTGGGACTAAAATTCTTCACTGCATAATTACAGATTTTTTTTTTAGTCGTTACTGCTTGATTACTCAAGATAAATAACCAATTAATAAGCCTGCAATTTTAGGGGTTAAGCCACCAACCTTTAGGTCACTGTCCTAACACAAGGCTATGGCTGCCCAGCCTTGCTGTTATTAGCCTTTGGTCATCTGTGTGTGCCATCTGATTTTCATTTGAAAGCGCTCAGGGGTTTGTGGATGATTTCTCCAGAGTGTGATTAGTGGGTCATGTTTTCACACAGCTCCACATGCACGAAGAAAACAGGTGCAAATGAAGCATAGCCGCAGGGTCCTGCTGTGGGCCTGCCTGAGGGTGTCTCTCCCAGATGGCAAGCCAGTGTCCACAGAGCTGGTTTATCCAAGTTGTCAGTCATGAGCCTCAGCATGAGAATGGCCACACAGTTATGTACAACAACAGAGATGTCTCTTAAAGGCATAATCAGGGATTGCAACAGGCAGAGCATGTTCTGCTGCTGGAAATACAGATGCATGCACCTCTTAAGCAAAGTAATATGTAGCCTAATCATATGCAGTTAGTAAAACTGATGCCACTACAGTGGCTGTTTCAACAATTCCAAACTGGCAACCCATGTTTTTGTGGGATTAGTACCTGCTGACTGCCAAATGTAGCTCTGCTGGATGCTTTACCCAAACAGCTAGCTTTCAACATGGATCTTTGATGTTGAATTTGATTGACTGATTGATCTTGCTCATTGCATTTGCCGTTGATTCCACATTAGAAACTCAGTCATGTTGAACATTGATTCAACAGTAGTTGTTGATAGCTGAACAGCTGTTGCTCTAATGTCAGTATTGGTGTTGATTTAATTTTGAATCAGTATTCACTCTATGACTGTGGAGTATTGATTCAGTGTTGAAAACAGTAAATTCAGTTCACTATTTACAAAATACGACACATTTTAAGACACTAATCCAAAGAAACCTAAAGTGGTAAGTAAGTGCAGCATTTGGAGCCCCAACCAAGGACTTTCATTCCTTCATGGCAGTGCTGCCTAGTTGGGATTGAACCTCAGATATACTGTATATTCTGCCTTACCCACTTACACCATCTTTTACACCTAAAAAAGCTTGTGTTGTCAAGCACAGATTATACCAACTTTTGTCAGCACCATAAGTTGCTAGAATTTGAGCAGAAGGTAACACAATCACGCTGCATACAGAAGATTGGAGGTTGAATCAACATTGGAACAGTGTTCAGTATGGTTGATTTTCCAGTGCTGAATCAATGGCCAAAATAACAAGGAAGATCAATACAAAGTGAACATCAGATCTATGCTGATTTAATGGTTTTGCCCAACAACTATAAACATTGTTTCAAGTCTGTTATCTTGGTGGACCACTGCACTTGCAGACTCTATGTAATGTATTTCCAGCTCCCAGGTTTAAGGCCTAAACCATTTACTTGATCATCACTTTTGTCAAAGAAGTATAATATTGCATCATCATAGAGTTTGTCCATAAGGTTTTTAGCTTTCCAAGTTGAACGGCTACGGTATAAACATAACACAAATCATTTATCTCCAGATGAATCATAATCCTCAGATTGCAGAAACATACAACTAAAATACACGTAGAAAGAAAAAAAAGGATACACATGAAGCCCTGCTGTGGGCCAGCCTGACATCTTTTGCAAATGAGACCTTTGTTGTGGCCATTTCTAAAACTTCTGACTGTGAGGTTAAAAAGAACTGCAAGAAGGTTGTGGAATCTGACCGTTCTGAGTCATGTGTTTTCTAAAGCAGAGTGCACAGACGGGAGTTGATGTTGATGTTTTCTGCAGGAAGGCCATTGTCCAGGGGTTCAGAGTAATCTGGTAAGTGGTACTGAACTACTGAGATATTAGGAGTGACATCAGCAGAGGGTTGAGGTGAAGGGTCATCAACAGAGAAGTGGGCAGATGAGCTCCTGCTTTGCTCTTTGACAGATTTCCTTTCTTCTTTCCCACTAACATTCTTCTGCTCTGCTGTTATCTTATCTAAGGAAGAAGAGAATTTGCATCAGTTATGCATTATTAACCACATTAATGTGTGGTTACTTTTATCAATCACTATTATTTAAATAATAGAACATGGAACAGACAGGTTCGGTAAGGCTGAAAGATTAATTGTTTTCATTTCAAAAAAGTGCAAAAACGAAACAATGCAATCTTCAAATCGCAAAAGTTGCAGTTTATATTACGGCCTTCATGATTGTGCTCAAAAATTTAACGTGTGAATCACCAGTAGACGAGTTAGACCAATCACAAGAAACCAAACACTCATGTGTTTTGTACAGCCTGACATACTACATTCAGTGTTAAAACCTCAAACCATACAAAATGCTGGTCTTCTTGGCCAACAAGGACCTGAATTCATGCAAAAAATTCACAATTCAAAAACAATGCAGTCACAATATTGCTCACAAAATTCACAATAAGTCCATTGTGATTTTTTTCACAATGGGCTTATTATTATTGTTGATTTTTTCCCCAAATCATTCAGCCTTATTTTAAAGTGGGCCAAAGACCTTTCACTAGCCTATCAGTGTAAAAAATCCAGATCTACAGTGTCTATAAAATAATTCACTTCTTTGCAAGTTTTCATGTTTATTAAAACACTGAATCACAGTGGATTTTTTACATTGATGAACAGAAACTGACCCTTTCATGTCAGAATGAAAACAGATCTCTGCAAAGTGATCTAAAATAATTACAAATATAAAATACATACAGCATAAGTATTCAACACCATTAACGTAGTATTTAATATGCAACAGCTTTTTCAGCCACATATTATTGCACTGATATTATTTTCAGCCACATTTATTGCACTGATATCTGGTGTCTGACTCAGGTTTCTTTATAGACTTCAAGTGGTTTTCCTCCAGGATTTCTCTATATTTTGCTGCATTCATTCCACCCTCATAAGCCTTCCAGGACCCACTGCAGAGAAGCATCCCCATAATATGATGCAGCCAGAACCATGCTTCACAGTGGGGATGGTGTGTTTATGATGATATGTAAACAACATTTAGTCTGATGGCCAAATAGCTAGATTTATAAAGAACGTTTCTTCAGCTGACATTAGAGCATTCCACATGCCTTCTATCAAACTGTTCTGGACAGCTTGTTCTTGGCAGATTTACAGATGTGCAATACTCTTTCCATTTCTTAATGTCTGACTTAACTGTACTACTAGGAAAATTCATTGACTTGGAAATGTTCTTGTATCCATCCCCTGACTTGTGCATTCCAATCACCTTCTTACTGAGCTCCCTGGAGTGTTATTTTTCCTTCATGATGCAGGTTATGCCACGATACTGACTCACCAGAAGTTTGACATGAGATACAGTTGTTTCACAATTAATTGGAATACCCTTGGCTGTAAACAGGTGATCTCCGTTTAACTAATAATGTGACTTTTAATACCAAGTGGATGATTTAGGGTCATATGCATACTTATGCAGTCAGGTACTTTGTGTTTTATATTTGTAATTAATTTAAATCAGTTTGCAGAGATCTTTCAACTTTTTCTGTTGATCGGTGCAAAAAAAGTTAAATCCATGTGATTTTATGGTTTACGATAATAATACTTATTATGGTATTGGACAAAAATTACCTTTATTTGACTGATTTCTTTATTATTGTCTGATTTGATTTTGCACTGATTTGAGTTTAACCATTAAACTTGTGAGCGTTGGTAAACTATCATAGGATTGTGGGAGCTGTGACATCTTAATAGCAACACTAGCAATACAGATGTCATGCTTCCGGGTTCTCCTCCCTTGCCTAATACTCTACAGGATTCCAATTCCCATGATTCCAATCCTGATGATGTCACTCCTTCCACCAATCACACACAGCTTCCTCATTCTCAGTCACCTGAGTATTAATGCAATTCACCTGTGTTTGTTTGTCCCAGGCTTTAAATAGTTTCTGGTTTGTTCTCCTCATTGTGAGGTATTGCCCTTCACTGGACTACTGAGCGGGTTTTCTGACTTGTGTATTGGACCCTTTACCTGTTTTTTGGATATTGCGTTTTTGTGTTTGCCCTTTTGCTCTGGTCGCTTGTGCATTTTGTATCTTCTGGCTTTTTGACTTTTTGCAAGGCTTTTGGATTCTGATTTTGGATTTGCCCTGAAACTGTCTGACCATCTTACTGTCTCTTATTAAACCACTTCCTTTTTAAGATCCGCGAGTGTCTTTCTGTGCTTGTGCAGCATTACAACAAACAAAAGAATGAAGTGGTGTAATATGATAACTGACTTGCCTCAGTTCATAGATACATTTCGATTTTAGATTATGTTAAAAGTAAGATTATACCAAAAAAAAAATAAAAAAACTCCCTACTCTCTAGGCTTTGTGCCTCCTTCTGCTGATCATCTTGGTACACACACGTCTCCTCCTTCCCTTTGCCCATGATCTGCTCCTCTGACAGCTGGAGGTTCTGGAGCAGGAAGTAGGTGGTCATCAGGCCTTTGCCTTTCACCTGGATCTCCCCCCGTTCACAAATGTCAAACATTTTATCCTTGAGGGCCCTATGGAGTGCAGAACAAAATGCTTTTATGTTGCAGATTACATTCTACTTAATATTAGGTCATGTAGGTATGTATGCACCTACCAGCAATCATCAACTCATGGATCTTTCAGAAGGCCAAAGTATAGTAGACAAAGTGTAGTGGAGTCTGAGAAACACCTCAGTGGAGGAAAAATATTGTACTTTCTTCTGTACCTTCTAAGCAGCAGACAACAAAACTTACAGGCTACCAAACTCACAACAAGTCATCATCCACTCTCACTTCTTTTTGTTCTGTTGGAAGTCTTTGAACATCTTGTTCTTCAGTGCATAGCTTCTAAAGTTGTTTTTGTGAGGATGTGTAAACAAGTACTGGTTATATGCATTGTATTTCTTAATTTTATGACAAACTGTGGCACAGGTTTCTGCTATAAGGAAAGTCTAAAGGACTTCACTGGAACTCTGCTTATGAACAGATTCAGAGTACACCATGGACAATTCAAGAAGAAATGATCGATGGAAGAAGCAGAGCAATGACATTCCACAAAATGCTATATCTTACATCTACTTTTTCAACCTGAAACAAATAGAATCTAGAAAATTCCTCTATGTACTGGCCACCCAAGCATCTTTAACCTTAATACCTTGGTGCAAACTTTACACAATGACCTTCGGAACAGTATCGTAAATACCCAAAGCCAAGCCCAGCAGACAGTGGCTCTGTCATTTTCTACCTCAAAACGCAAAAAAGACGCATGGAGTTAGAGTAGCTAGATTAGGCATTAATCTTCTAATAGAACCTGAAAAGTATATATGCTAAGGGCAAATTCAGGGATGACTAGAATAACTAGAACCTTGCACTCCACATCCCTACACTGGCTTCCTGCAATGGTAAATATCAATACTTCACATGCAAAGAGCATGGCCTAATTGTGAATGGACTTGCTCCACCAGCATCCGTACACACCTAAAAATCTATGCTGTTGTCATCTCCAGTTTAACAGCCATATGCAAAACATCAAGAAGGCCAATCTGGAGGAACCCTCTGCATGAGACAAAGCAACAGCTGAATAAGGAGTCAGTGGTTATCTATAAATAAAACAGTACTATGCAAAGGAAACCACACTTCATTTATTTAATTTCCAATCAAACCAGACATTAAGTACAAGTTATTCATTTTTCAGCATCAGGAAAAAGGGTTTTTTTTTTCAAAGAAATCTGTAGGAATATTTTTTCCACACCTCTAAAGTTCAGTCTTAGAAACAGATTCAATGATGTAGAAGTGTGGGCTCTGGTGTGGTCAGTCTCTTGTTATGAGAACACTAGTAGTTTCTTTGTTTAATTTGCGAATGCTTCTTTGAAAGTTAATCTGTGGTGACATTTTCTCTTTACCTTTTAATATTTTTTTGATCTGCAGTTTTGGAAACTCCTGTTTTCTCGCTTATTTCCTTTTGACTTTCCCCTTATCCTCATGGACATAGATTATCTTAAATTTAAAGTTCTCATTAACATTTCCTAAAAAATAAATAACTTGTACCTAATGGCTGTTTTGACTGGAAATAAAATAAATGAAGGGCAATCTCTAACTTTTGCACAGTACCATTTATCATATCAGACCCCACTCAACAAGTATCTGTGCTCAGTCTGCCAGGTATGAGAATGGCCCATACTCACAGGCAGTTCTATATTTGCCAAGACCAAGTCTTCAGATTTTGAGTAGCAGCTTAAGCCCACAGTGTGCATGCGAAGATGTGAAAGCAATAAACTTTATCATGGACGCTAATTGTGTTTTATATTGAAACTCCCTCACCCTTTCCACAAACTCCACAAAAAAAGTGCCAGAGGGATGCTACACACACCTGATAAAGATACCATTGCGTGACTTGAGAACTGTGTTGTCTACATAACAAGGGGAAAATTCTTAAATGAACACTGAATTTTAATATACTCAGGTATGTGCCAGAATCAGGCTCTGCAGTTTACATAAAATGTCAGATGAGAACCAGTAAGCAAAGGGACTGATATGTATGGAGTGCGTGTGAGTTTATCAGGACAACCGGCGGGAGAGCCTGTTTTATTCTCAAACTCCACAATAAAAATATGTGTTTTTCTCACACCTACAGGCATGGGGTCAATAGTAGTCCAATAGTAGTTCTAAGGGACGTTTTTGAAAAAGAATATTCAGATGTGTATGTGTACTGATTTAGTATGTATGGTACCTGTAGGTAAAAGGGCTCAGGTGTATATGGTCAGGAACTCCATGACTCTCCATTCGAGAGGCTGTGTTGACTGTGTCTCCAAACAGGCAGTATCGGGGCATTTTTTCACCCACTACACCAGCCAGCACAGGACCTGTATGTAGACCTACTCTGATCTGGAATACACATATTAGGGATGCATGATATGGCAACAATATAACATTACAGTACTTACAGTCATTTTAATGATTTGCAGTATGCATGACAATATTTAGGTTTTCTGAGTGTTGTGAAAAAGCTGGAATGGATCATCAACAGTCTATGAAAATGAAATAATGGGCTGCAGTTTGTGCAGTACAATGGTTGTTGTTTACAAGCTCTCTATAACTGGTCTGCAGTAGGCTGCAGTATACTTCAAAAATAATACAGTGCCAAAATAATACAGTGGTTTGAGTTAATTCAGTGCGCTGCTTGATAACCTCCCTCTGACTGCAGCTGGTCCACTGCACAAAGCAGGCTGCTAACAGTGTTGAGATGTACACTGAGTTTTTTTTAAGTACTCTTTCAACAGCATGCTTGGCAGTAGCTCCGTTTTGTTCAGTTCTTTTGTTGTTTTAAGTATATTGCCAGTTTATGTCTTTATTACGATACATACAGTTGGTCAATGTTATATGTTATAATTGTGATATAACAGTTTCTATTATCGATATTTTTCAATATCAAACTTTGGGCTGGAGACTTTTGCTGGACCTGGTAACCTTGCCCCCCGTAGAGAATGAAAAATACAGCAAGATCTGTACACAGTGAGAGATGATTTTCAAGTTAATAAAACTGTAAATTGGAGCTTAAAATCTTTGGCCTTTATCTTTATATTAAAAAAAATAAAAGCTTTTATTTGCATATGTCAGATGAGAAGTAATAAAGCTAACTTAGCAATGTATTGCAACAGTGTTGCACATGCTACAGAAATGGGTGCTAATGTCATGCCTGGTACCAATGTTGTTGCTAATCCCTGTGGAGAGTTTTGTTAGAAGGAATAAAATGCTGATTAAAGAACTAACATGTCAAGAGGCACAAAGAAATGATCTATCATCACATGTAGTGTGTGACTTATGTCTTACAGTTTTCTTGAGGATGGAAGATGTCTACATTAGAGAGCTGAGCAGAAACCATAAAGTATCTACATTTATCTTCAAATAGACAGTTGTAATAAAATTAATAAAAAAAATGAAGAAATCATTATATTTCTATGAAATACATTTAAGTGATTGTATGCAGTTTCAATACATCTAAAAGGTTCTCCAAGGTAAAAAAAAATGAGTGAAATGTATTTTGTAACGTGTTTAATAAATGTTTTGGCATGTTAGTTTTAGGATATATGTTCTCCAGTATTTATTGCACTTGGTTCATTTTACTACATACCCAGAAAATCCCAATGTGCTGTACTTTATCATGATAGTGATAATATATCATCACAAATACACTTTCAATGAAATCACATTATTTCTACAAGAACATGCTCAGACACACAACACCAGCAATCCCCTTGAACTCACCACCACAGTTAAACAGAGATAAGAACTGGCACCTGTATTGGCTGCCCTGTGATAGGGTTGGTCACCTCCCTGGCTGCAATCCTCATGCCCAAGGCAAAGTTTGCCACGCGCTCAGCGTGGGTGTCCTTGGGGATGGGCACACCGCCAACAACCATATAGGCATCGCCAATCGTCTCCACCTGCAGTGAGGACACAGTCATGTGATTTCAGGGAAAACACTGCATCAAATCTTTTCAGTTAGTATTTTCATGGCAGACTAAATGACTAATCAAATCGTGTATGACTTGCTTGTAATGGCCATTACATAAATAGCAATTGTGCACTACCAGACAAAAATGGCTGTTTTGAAAACTTTATAATCAAGCTATTTCACTTGATTTGTTTGACCTTGGGGATCCTTTTAGATGTACTGAAACCACGTACAATTACTTAGATATGCTTTGTAAACCTTGAAGTAGAAACATAATGATTTCTTGTTTTTTTCTGACCTTGTAGACATCATGGACATTTGTGAGGCGGTCGAACTTTGAGTACATGGAGTTGAGCATGTGGACTATCTGAATGGGCTCACAGGCTGCACAGATGTTCGTGAAGGTGACCACATCGCTGAAGAGAATGGTGCACACTTTGAACTCTCCTGAGAGGAAATAATATCACAAAGAAAGCAAATACAAATAATGAATTACTTGAACATACAGAGTATGACACTTAATTGATTTGGGCTGAACAGTAGTTTAGCTGTGGTATTTCAGGTTATGTTTGGGATACAGCCAAAAGTCTAAAACCACATTGAAAATCTGGGAATAATTTCATTTAATCTTGCAAATAAACAAGTTTTAGAATTTTGAAGAGTTTAAAGTTATGATAATTAAACTTTTAATTTTAATTACGCCTTTGCACTATTTCTAGGTCATATGCAAATTTAAGAATATTTGTGACATTGACCATGTTAAGGCCTTTCGAGTGCATGCTGTAATTAAAGCAAAAGGGGAATATACTAAAGATATTCCAACTTTTGGGACCCATTTTACATTTATTGCAGGTTTTAATTCTTTTAAATTAAAATCTTCTTTTTCCTCTTTTTTCTTCTTTTATTTGGTTTTACTGTAACCACTGTTCAAACCTCCTGCAGACTTCTTCAAACAGCCTGCAAAACAATCTCTAAATGTTTTACATACAGTATGATGCAGAACTATTTATCTGAGCAGTAAGTGTATTGTATTCAAATATTCAAGAAATTAACTTTAATACAATAAAAAAGTAAAAAAAAAAATCTTATTTTGAAAAATTATTGATATCTGGTGAGCAAGTTAGTGGATTTGGTTTCCTCTTGTCCTCAATGCAGCTCCAGCCATTTTGTGTACTTGTTAAATTCCACCAGAAGCAGACATGATTGCTTAATCAGGCATAACTTGATGAAGTACTGATTGGCCAAACAATCAGTACTAGTACTGGTTAGTAGCAAATAATGGGTTTCCTCAAGGAGAGGTTTAAAATGGTTAACACACAGACGTAACATGACTTGTATTTGTTACCAATTTGTATTGTAATGTTAGTGTTTTATCGAGCAAATAAGTAAAGTCAACAATTTTATGTAACTAACACTATTATAACTTTTAAAGGGCTCATTTAAAAAGAAAACAACATTTTCTAGCTGAAATAAAATAGTTTAATACAGTATATAAACACTGATAAAGCGTGGATTCTTACCTTCATTTTTCATTCCACACAATCCACAACTGAAAACCAAGCTGCTAAAACAGGCTGTTCTAATCTTATTGTTTTTGTGAAGTCAGGAATACTTATGCATTTACATACATCAACTATTCAGCCTATAGAAGTTTTGCGCCTCCTAATTACACTGAAGTTATAAGGAGTGTTTCAGCCCAGACTGCTTTTTTAAATGATAACACAGGGCAACCAATCAGAGACATTTATCAGTCTTAAAGGCATGGCAACAAAAACAGCCCGTTTATTTCTAAGGAATAAAGAGAGGTTGGAATGGTCATGCAAAAATAACCTACGGTTGATTTCTATGCATAAAGCCACAAGAACATTATCAGTGGACCTCAGGAAAAAAAAATCAAGAACAGTGTAGGATAGGTGTCCTATAAAGTGTGTGATATCACCAGTTAACTGACATCATAAAGACTGGTAAAGTGCATCTTTGTTGAGTCTAGTATTGCTGATCTCTCAGTCCATTCATTACTTTACCTGCATCAACCTTCTTGCCCTCTTTTAACTGGTTAGCGACATGCCGTGGCAACATAGCATACAGCAACGTCTCTGTCTTCTTCTTCTCCACCTCCAGGTTGCGTGAGAGGATGCGCAGCTCCTCCTTCTTGCGCTCAAGCTGGTTGGACAGCTCGATCTCGGCCAGTCTCTGCTGATTAAGCAGGATGAGGTCACGTGTGGTGTCATGTTGGGCGATATCAGCCAGGTGCAGCCCTCGCTCCTCCAACTCCTGCAGACTACGCAGCTTAGGAGAGCACAGATACACCATGCAGCACAGAGACTCCATCCACACCATCTGACCTGCAACACACACAAAATTGTTTGTGTCATAAACACAAACTTAACTCTTCACTGCAAAAGCCCTATTTAGGACTGTCAGCAAACAAATCTAGGACAAATTTAAGTATTGCTTCCTGCAGTAAACAAAGACTGTCAAATCACACCCATACAAACAATAAAGTTTATCACACATACTACTGATTGTTTCACATTCACCCACAATACTCCACACATACCACTGAATATGCACTGACGTTGTGTTCTGCGCTTCATTTCTTGTTTGTGCACTGATGTTTCTGCATTTTTTCTGATACTGCTGCACACATACATAAATTCATCCATCTACACTACATGTCCAATTGTTAGTAGACAGCTGCTTATGCAACATTTCTTCAGACAGCAAGGGTATTAATTGAGACTTTGTCCACTTCTTGGCTGCTCTCTGCTCTTCTTGGAAGGCTTTAACTAGACACTGGAACATTACTGTCTGGATTTCATTGCATTCAGCCACAAGAGTATTAGTGAAGTCAGGCACTGATGTTGGATGATGAGTTCTGGATCACAAACGCCACTCTGACTAAACTCTGTGGAACACCTGAGGCAGGAATGGGGGCTGCTTAAAGTAACGGAATTCACTAATTGGAAATGGTGTCTGGATATTTTGGGATATATAGTGTATCTATATTCACTAAAGTAGTGAATGCTAAATTCCAACTAAATTTGTTGGCCATTGCAACACAGGTTTTAGCATTTTCCCTGCTCTAACATATCTTAAATGTCCCATAATTCATCAGCTTTATGACTATTAATAAAGAGCACCTAATGCATTCAAAATATTTTACACATATGGCCAATAATACCTCGTAGTTTGAGCATGGACTGATTTTGAAAGCTCTGAGGAAGCATTTCTCTCTTAGTCTTCAGCACGAACTGGCTGTTGATGAACTTCTTGATGCTGTGAATGTTGAGGGTGACCTCAGGATGGACCACGATGAAGTATTCATCCAGACGGATCCCTGTCCTCTGCAGGCCTGGCACAAACTTCTGGATATTCACGCCAGTCTGCTTTACTATGAGCTGCAGAAATACAGACAGATGTAAATAATATGGATGATACGATGTTATCATGACCCTTGAGCCAGAATCTGATTATATTGCAATGTTTAAAAAAAAAGTGATATGCTATGTATTACAAAATGACATATAAGAGTATATTGATTAGTAGATTTGTAAATTGTTAAACTCTGTAAATTGTTAAAACCTTCTGTTGTATCTAATCAAGTTTACACTTTGTTTATTTCACTTCAATGTTCTTTTTTCCCAAAGGTTTTATTCTGGTGTTTCTTATTCCTGATTCCAATCATAAAGTATAAATACTTTGATCTCTGTGTGAAATATTATACTGTATAAACTTTATTTTCACTGAGACAAGTTTATAGAACAATGTGTGATGCCAAATAAGTTGTAGTTGTGTTTGCTGTCACATGAAAAATCAAAATACTGGTAGTTTTTGCATCATTTTGCATGTCATTAAAAAAAGTTCAATATGAAGTTGATCACACTGTAAATCGACCCCATTCTTTGCTCTAGCAGATGTTTTCTAAAGAAGTCTTACATCTTGGTCAAAGACGATATGAAAGGGGAAAGCATTGCAGAAGGCTTTCTCCTCAATCCACAGTCTCTTTGGATAGCTGGGGCAGAACGAGTGCGGAATTCGGTCTGAAATGGAAAGAAAAGTATATATTATTGCTGTCCACAGAAATATGTATCTCCAAAATAGTAGTGTTGTAAATGCATGTATTATTAGTCACATAGAAATAAATCAAAATGCTTTAAAGTTTGACACATACAGTATTCCCAGAGGTTTGTAAGTCATACCAGCTTAATCAACAAAATACAACCTATGAGGTTTAAGTCTTTTTGCAACTGCACACAAACTCTGACTTTCAGGCCACAGAGAGACTTGCAGATTCTAGCATTGTTTAAATGGCTGTACAATGTATATGAACTGGTCACATTTGCGGTATGTAACAAAGTTAAAGTGGAAACAGAAACCAGGCCTAATGATGAATCTGATGGTACTGTGGCAGGTGGACCTACCCGACATGACCTTTCTCGCAATGTCTTTCTGTTCTGCCCCATTCTCTTCATTTGGGTGGGTTTCTGCCTTGGCCCCTTCGTTTGTCTGTGTCATGAGAAAGATCACATGCTCTTTCTTCCCTGTGCGTTCCTCCTCCTCCGGCTGCTCCAGGATGGTCATGGTCACTTTGCTGCCAAAGAAATCCTTTGCCACTGCTTCAATTATGCCTGCCATGTAGTCATGGAAACAAGACCAAAGAGGAAGAACAGGTCCAGAGAGGAAGAATGTCTTTTTCAGTTATTGGAATTAGTCTCTAAAGTTGTTTTATCTCAAGGTCAGAGCAGATATCTCAAAAACATGTGTGTGTGTGTGTGTGTGAGTGTGTGTTTTGTACCAGGCACTATATGGTGGAGACCTTTCCTGTCAGAATAGTAGTGGAGCAGCGTCCTGCCATCATTTGTTCGCTCCACACGGAAAGAGGGTGCATTCATCTCCTGAGGCAAAACACATACCAGGTGACAGAAAAAAATTAAACCAGCATTCTAAGCCTTTTCTTCCATTCAAGTTGTGAGTTACACAGTTGTATAAAGGTAATATTACCTATAACACCAAGAAAGTACTGCTTGAAATGTACAATGTGGCTGTATTTTGAAACCAGTGTTACAAAATCATAAAGATCTTTTGGCCACATGATCTTTTGTATGTAACATGTATCAGATCATTCACCCATCTGGTGATTTGGTACAAATAATACACCCTGTACATTACACCAAATATTCTAAATAAACTCTCATCTTAATCTTATTTAATTCTCCTATACATAGTTAAATCTACACTACATACATTCTGGAAATGTGTAATTGCCTGTAAAGTGCAGAACTACATCAGTTGTGCTTTGGGACCACTTCCCCAAGCAGAGAAATCTGATGATTGCAAGTGTGCTGAAGGCGTATTCCGAGGCCTCAGTCTAAACTTGGTGAAGGACATGTCTTCCAAGGATGTAAGTGAATAATCTACTATTGTCATCGGATTTTCATCAGTATACATTTAATTTTGCATTTGAACCTTAAGCATCGACCCAGACCTTCTTTTTGAGACTCTATTCATGACATTAATACATAAAGACATATGATGCGGTCTGAAAAACCCTTGCGGAATCTGACCTGACACCTCTGCCTTTCAACTGACTATTTCAGGCTTTGAAGAGTGGCAGCAGTGCAGTATTTTCCCTGAATCAGTAATGCCACTTCTTTCAATTTTAACAAAAAGTCTCACATAGTGCAGCTTTAAGTCTTGAAATCAATGTGTTGCAATTTTCTCCTATTACTGAATTTGGCTCCTGAGAAATAACCCTCACCTTGATTAAAATATTGTCTCAGATGACTTAACTCTTAATTTATTGCCACAGAAGAAACAGTTTAGGTTTCCTAAAGAACCATGTTTGTAAAAGTGATTTTTTTTTGGCATTTTAAGTGCTAGAAACTTTACATTTTGTGGAGATGCTTTAAACTTTAAAAATGTTCCTCACACTCACACATCTCATTTACAAAAATGATTCTCTAAAGAACCATCCATTGAAAGGTTCTTCATGGAACTAGAAGTCTTTTTTTCTGCCATCATTTAAAAAACCCTTTCAGGCATCTTTATTTTTAAGTGTGTAGTCTTAGCTGAATAATATTTGCATAAGAAAAGTGCAAAATCTAATGATTTCCTTAAATAGCTCTCTTCTACATCTCAGAAATCTTTCCATAAGTGCCGCAGGAGAACTCCTGCTTTATTATGTATAGCCGGAACAATTAAATTCTTACAATTAAATGTTGATGTTAGTTTCCTCTTTTCTCATTTTTTCCTAATGGTGGTTTAGGAGAAAGAACTCAACAGTCAGTGATTTTTCATACAGAAATTTGCTTCACGTCTTCTGAGACAAAGAGAAATTGATCCTAAGAAAGACTGCAGATGGTTGTAGGGTACTGTAAGAATTTAACATGGATTAAATGGCTTTAAAATGTGTACATAACTAAATCTAGAGGTCAATGAGGAAACACAAGCCATAAGAGAACATAATAACTGAAATTGGCATGAGCAAAAGTATCAGACCTGATAAGACAATGCCAGGTAACTATGTAGGGCATCAAGGTTTTCAATGAATTCCACTAAGTTTCCACCAAGAGTGCGTAGCATTGTGTCATAGCCAGACATTTTACAGAAGCTGAAGAAGTATTCTCCAAAAAGCTTCAACACCACCTCGGAGGAGACATCTAGAAGGCAAAAAACAAGGGAACATATAGTTTTCAGCTTCACTTTTGTTTGTCAGTTGAATTCAATCCAAGTCAGTTTAAGTATAATAGATCAATTAATCTATTTATGTTCCACCCACAATCTTGTTGAAAAATTGGACAAACTTTATACAACATTGGCAAAATACCATTCAGCCTAATCAGAAGTTGTAGACCACAACTCTGTCAAAGCTTCATGGTTAGAGTGCATTAATAATTAAAAATGACTTTTTACTTTGTATATTTGACAGGTCATTCTTTAGTGATACACAGAGCGTAGTTTTTTTTTTGTTGTTGTTGTGTATTCAATCTATAGTCAGCATGCTATAGTTAGCATTCAAATCTACAACAACAAATTCCAACTTTGTAACACAGCACTTTAAACTGGAAACATTATGCAGTGCCTCTTCAATTAAGTTCTATTTCCACAGCTTTCAGCAACAATCCCAGTAAACAAGTCCAGTTCCAGAGATAGTGTGCTAAAAAAAAGAAAAGGTAGCAAACCCTAAACTTCATCTGCATAACTGTGGAATGATGAACAACTAGAAACATTAACCAATCATATCTTTTCACCCCTATAATCATTTTTTTTCATGTGAGCTGCACTGCAGGTTGGTTGCTTAGGCTAGTACTTTATGTAAAACAAATGTTTTAATTTAAATGCTATCTATGAGTCATAATATCTTTTTATATGCTCTAACACATTATGACTTGATAAGATTTTGAACAAGAACACTGACTATAACTGGTTATGAACACTGACAGACACCAAAATTGTGTGCATCCTGTTAAGCCTATATCTTTCTATGTATGTGCTTATTGTAGTGGAGCTGCATAGTGGTAGGGTTGTGGGGTGTCACTGGCCACCTCACTAAAGCTGGTAATTGTATAAGTTATTAAACAGTACATTTTCAACACTGGATGGAGTTGAGGATTGTCGATGAATGCTTTTTAGGGATTGCGAGAAAGTGTCCTGCTCTACTAAAACCAAGTTATGTTCATATTATTCCATGTTTCAATTCTCTGCGTGCGTTTTTAATTTTAAATGATGTACCTTTTTTTGCAACCTGAATACTGGAAGCACCACGGAGCTCCTTGCAGAGTGTTACGTTTTTGTGATGCTGTGTTTTCACTAAGGAAAACCATTGCAGTATTTTGTACATTCTTCTAGAGGCATGATACTACACACCGTTATAAAAGGCAACACTCATTAGCAGGTTTGAATTTGTGAAATATTTGGATCATTCTACTGAATTAGTTCAAAATTAAACTATTTAAAACTATTGTAAAAAACAAATAAATATTCAGACGTTAGATATTTACAAGAAATATGTTATGATGTACAAAATTCCTCATGTATTTAGTGAAATTGAAAGATTTTGATTTATGAGTTTAATATCTACTTCCTACAAAAATGATGCCCCATGTTGTTATGTTTTGTTTTAGTCCATAGGCGAAGCCTTATTTTAGCCAGACCCCTGTATTTTAGAGCAGGAAGTGAGACTACATCCCTGTCCCTGATGGCCACATGGTGAGCAGTTAGATCCCAATGTTTTGAAGTAAATGTGGCCCAAAGTCTTAAAATCAGTGTGTAACCTTAAGAATTGCCACTACTGAAACACATAGGTACTGCAACTATGTACATTTCTTTTTGTGTTTTAATGGAACAGAATGTGATTTTGTGTGTGTGTACAACTGTTCAAAGCTGTGATTGTGAGTCACATACTGGCTAGTGTTTTTGAGTTATGCTCAAAGTGAACTAAAATTGTCACTACCGAAATATTTTGGAAAGTTTCAAAGGCATTATTATTGTATCGGTAGCAAAAATACTTTTTTAAAGTATAAATACTTTTAAAAAGCAGTGATGAATACACTGAATACTGAATACACTGTCACAAATGTAATCTGTAATGTGCTACTTGCTCAAAATACATTTAGAATACAGATAGAAATAAGGCAAAAAGTTTTCTTATTTAATTCACATTGTTCCTTACTGTTACTAGTTGACAGTTTTTTTTCATATAAGTCTTCTGTTGGTACATTTTATGAAAAATTCACTTATCATTTAAATAAAGTTCCAAAACCTGTTTTTCTTTCTTTCTCTCTCATGGCCTGCTTCAGTCGACTGCTGCTCCCACAATTCCCATGAGTCAAGTAGAACACCGATGCTAGCTTGTCACTTAGAAACATGTCCACTACTAAGGAGACTGTTAGTGAATATTTGCTACATGCTGTGTGTTGATTTTAAAATAGTTCAATTTTTTTATTTATTTTATTAAAAGTGTAAGTATTCTAAAAATCCTAAGAATGTAGTAGGTAACAAAGAGATCTTAGTCTAAAGTGAAAGTCAGAAATGTTTTAACTCTAACTTTGAAACAATATGGTAGAATGATCCATATAACATAATACAATGGTCTCTTTGTCTCTTTACAGATTTTGTGAATGGAACTAGGAAAAGGAGGGGGGAGGAGGTGAGGGCAGACAGTGAAAAACTCTGAAACCATATGCAGCCATGATCACTGAACACAAGATATGTCAAAATCACATTTTTTAGAAAGTCCAATAAGTTTGTAACCTCTTAAAAAGGTGGACAAAAATGCTAAATTTTAAAAAGTATGTAAATGGTGCATTTACCCTCCAATACATCCCTGCCTGGTACCTAAACTTCTTCCCATGCTGCAACAGTTTCTGCTGGGTCCCTCAGGCCTAGCAGTGATTCACTGGAGCCCAGGTGTGCAACCTGTTCATTGGTTCGCACCTGTCCTTGTCTGTGCTCTTTCACAGGGATCTGCACTTGGAACAGCATCCTCCGTGACACACTGCTCTCAATGGGCAGCCTTCAGCGGGGACATTGTTAACACCTACACACAGATCTCACTCGCTCTCTGATCAGCACACAACCATTCCCCAAGGCCGTCGCATACAGAGACACTGCCCACAAACAGCCCGAAAGCTTTTCACTGGCACTCTTTCTCTGCTTTCTTTCTCTTGTTTTTAGTTCCTGCTTTAGTTTATCGACTCTGCATTTGACCCTGGGACCATTGAGGAATGGCAAAGAACACTTCAGCGCACCTCAGTACAAACAGATGAAATAGATGATGTTTGTGAACCTGCGACCGGAGAGATGATGAATGGGAGTTGGAAAAAGAGCATACGCTTTAACTAAGTTTGAAAAGCACAAGAGCAAAGAGGTTAATCATGTCAGAGGACACAAAACATCCACTACACATCCTGTATCTTGACCTTGCTCCTGAATATTTAAAAGACAGAAGGCTAGGTGATTTAGATGCACGATCAAAAATTGTTTGTGTGAATTAAGGCTCACCCAGCATTTTGCAAGCCTCTTGCACCAGGCGAAGAGTGATGACATCATCATAAATTTCATAGGTCATAAAGTTGTCTTGGACCTCTGCCAATAACCTGAGAAAATATGACTTTGGTCACAGAAAGAAGAGCAAATCACTCTAAAGCATGTACTGCACCCCTCCACCGAATGTTTAGTTGCTGACCTTAGCTCTTCCCATGTCTCTTCTCCAAACTTCTCAACCACTAGAGTCCTCAAGCACGTGTTAATGAAGCCGTACTGTTAGAACAAAGAACATTGGGGATAGTGAAAGTACAATATTATTACTCAATGTTTGTGTGTGCACTGAGTTGCCAGTATATTAGGTACACTACATTGTATCTGCCTTCAATGGCCATTGCCCATCAGGTCCACTTAGCATATAGGATAACAAATAAATGTGCATGGAAAAAGATAAGCTATAGTCTCTAATTGTATACCTACATAATAAAAAATTAAAGTCAGCTCAACCTAAAATTTTAAGTCAGCCTTCTGCATTGCTTTTCATAATTTTCTCAAATTAGTTTAGTCAAAAATTCTCTTAACTTACATGTTTAGTACTGCATGTAAGTTAGAACTACAAAATACAGTAAGTTGAGCTTACTCAGAAAAAAGGGGTATTTTTTCTACTTTGTTTTTGTTTTGAGTAAGTTCAAATTGAGTAAGCTCAAGCTCAAACTGTTTTGTTGACATAATCTAAGACGCAGTACTAAAACATGCTTTGTTTTTTTTTTTAATATTTGATCTTTTGAATTTGAACAAAACCATGCAGAAAACTGACACGAATTTTCTAATTTAACTGAATTTTAAACAGTGTAAGTGGATGATGCATACCAAATACATAGGTGTTTTAAATAAAATGGCTAGTGAGTGTGGACGATAGCAACTCACTGAAATTTAGAACAGATTCAGTCCCCCGATTTCATGTATGCACATATGCATATAAAAGCAGGGTGCTTTCTGACTGTGTATAATACTGAAATACAATTTTATCAACATACACAGTAACCTAAAAATAAACCTAAATTGTTCATTCAATGAGGTTATGAAAACAGATACCTTGACTCAGTTGAGATGCCATGTCATAACTCTAATAAATCTGTAACTTAAAATTAAAATAATTCAGCCCATAGATCATTCCAATAAACTCATGTCAGATCATGGGGCAGAACAACATACTAGTAATCAATTCAGTGTTTAAAATAAAATATACACAGATCTCTTCACAAAGACACAAAGCTTCTTGGAACTCTTTATATTCTTTCTCACTATTTAAAAACAGAATGAATATATACTTACCATTCCTGCAGCTGACCTACTCCAAATGAAGCGGCTACTCTGACTTGTATGACTGAAATGAGGGACTCTGCAGATGGCCTATTTACATTTAGGCCAATGCACACACGTCCACTCACATGCACCCCTAATTAGCAATTTAAACCCCTCCTTCCAGATGTCCCTCCATGTGCACACACACACACACAGACACAGACACAGACACACACACACACACACATACACACGCTACTGACCACTGTATAGATGTAGATATAGATGTAGATGTGTAGCGCTTACCTAATCAACAAGTTAATTAATTTGTTGGTCAAATATCCATTTTGCATAAATATAATTTCAATGGTGTGATAACAAAATTGGTATACTAATTTAGGGCTATATATTCACATATACACTTTTTTTTTTACAGTTACCTTTACTCTTTGGAGACTCAAAATCTGCAGGGATATTTGTCCAAAGTAATACTTCCAAAGTATCCACATGTTCTAATTCTCATGATCCATGTAATACTTATTACATATTTAGACTCATTAGTCCAGGGGTGTCAAACTCAACCACTAAAAGGGTCATATTAAAAAATGTCAGCAAATCCTTGGGCCAGCTGTTTTATAGGTGTTGTCACAAAGCAGCTTTACAGATCTGTGTTTTTCTTTCATTTTTACTTTTATTTTGCCATGACCCAAATGGGTCATTGTTTATTCAAAATATGCCAAAACTGCAACAGCAAAATAGACATTGAATACTTATTTTAAAATAATTAAAATAAAAATATTTTTTTTAGGTAGTTTTTAAAAACTGCCTATTTGCATGAACTAGACACCAGGCATGTTTTCTTTTTGTGTATCCGTTGGCCTATAGATTGTTGTCAGGGAAAGGGGGTCAGAACACACATTATGTTGCAGTGCATGCTGGGAACTGTAGTGCATCTTAGGGTGAAACAGGCTAATAATAATAAAAAATGTAAATAATTTAGGATTGTACCATAGGCCTGACTTGTGTTTGACACATATTTATTATATTTTTATTTTATTTTTGTTTTTTTTCCTGCTTATGTTCACTTATCTTCTTTGTGTCCCCCAAAGAAGTTGTAACTAATTTTAATGTTTTCCAACCTTTCCTTATTCCATAGAATTAAATAGGCACATTTAAAAACCAGCTGTAACACTCCTCATAACTTCATTCTGAAGGTGGGGATCTTAACTGCTGTAGGCTGAATTGTGAATTTTTGTAAATGAGTTTGTTTTTCTGACATCACAAAAACAATTAATTAAAAACAGGCTGCTTTTGCAGTTCAGTTTCCTTCTGTGGGCTGTAACATGTTTTAACTTGTCCATGTTTTATGGCAACATTGTATTTTGATTACCCATATCATAAAATTACTTGACTGCCTGTGTACTCCCTCAAACATTCTAAACTACCTTGTTTCACCTTCCTTTCTAAAACATAGTTTATACCATTCCAAAGGGAAAGTACTCAACAGTTTTCAACAGAGTTCAACAGAGTTCACAGCTTGCCTCTATCTGCTTTATCTGTTAAAAATGACTAAGTAGGTAGACCAAGAAAACAAACCCATTATAATGAAAATCAGCACAAAAGTAATATAAAAAAGTTATACAAAATTTTTGCCTCCCAGCCATGAATGCAAAAAACACTATTAATGTGAGCAGGTCAAGAAATGTTGACCTTCAAGCATATTAAAAACTGTAATTACAGTACTAAATCTTATCCAACTACAAACCAAACACAAATATACAATAAAATCCTGGATTAGTTCAAACTTTATTTCCCTTAAATGCCTGCTTACAGTTTTTGTTTACAAACTAATTTTTAAAAGAAACGAATAGTCCTTAACAATCTGGAAAAGCCCCAAGAAAACTCCAAAGAAAATGCTCCCTTAGAAAATTTACAGCTTTTTATGAGAGATTACATGGTCTCATTCCATTGTAGTACACAGGGTTTGTCCTCTGTTGAACCTGTTGGGCAAAACCCCACACAGCACTATTGTAAAACCATGCAGGGTTGTCGAAGCAGGTGGGCTTTCCATGTTAATCTTTAGTGTGGCAGGTGTCATATTACTCTGAAAACCACCTACAGCTGTCAGAAGGCCACTTATAAAAGCTAGTAAACCAGGTGAGCACAAACAGTCATACCTTTCTCCTACTGATTCATTCTTAGTCCTACAGATAAACACATCAAGGTAAGAGTTTATTTTCATCTTTTGCTTTAATTTTCTCTTGAGTCTCTAATTTCTACTGTTTGTAGTTTCTTCTTGTTTATTAGTTTCCTAATGAAATGTTTTTTTAAGGGGAATTTCACCGAAATGTCTGCATAGAAAGTCAGAAACTTACCGAGTCAGAATTGATCACAGTGCTGGTGATAGGAACCAGACATCCAAAGTATTTAATGCCTCTAAAAACTACCTCACAGAAAAGTATTACATGAAATAGTTATGAATACACTGCCTAATGCATGGGACATTGTTTTCTGATAGTTTTCAGATAAGATTTTGGCCTAAAACCTCTTTTTCGTAAATCCTTTCATGCCAGAGAGGTACATGCAGGGCATTCTAAGACAAAATAAGTCCCAAAGGAAACTTTTTTCAAACTTATCACTATTTTAGCATTATCAACACATGCTAACATATATATACGACCCATTGTTCTTATCACTACTACTGTGAAGAAATCTAAATCAGTAATTTTCTCTACAGTGCAAAATTTCGCATCAAACCCCCCTGAATAAGTTTGTTTATATCGCAATGACTGAATTATGCCAAAGTTAAATGAGTGAAAATCCACTTTAAAATTCAAATGTAAATTTTATTTTTTGTTGTCTGTTCTTTGGTATCAAAGGAAAAACAGAATGATGAAGTGTCATGATTAAATTGAGAATTCGGTATTTAAATATTTTTCTCTTTCACAGATGTTTTGTGAAAGCACTTTGTGGAGCATGGGTTACCATGAGCAGTTTTACCAACTCCAGGGATGCTCAAGGGACGTACATCTGCTGGACCTTTCATCAGGCCATGCACACCCTGCCCCCAGCAGTGTCCACCCAAAAGAAAGCATAGCATGTGTGTTCTCCCGCCTGTTCAAACGCTTCTGGCTTTCCAACAAACATCACTCAGGACACAGGATAATACAATAACAGCTGATTCCTTACCACTATGCTGTATCCAAGGAGACAGAGAGTGGGCAGTTCCTCCAGTCCATTATACCTGTACGGGTGTCCTGGGAGCAGACAGGACTGGACATGTCCATGTGGCGCTGACCTCACTAACTGGTTGATGAAGTAGTATACGGACTCTTACCTCTGTCCACTGTATGAAGATGGTCTACTAGAGTTGTAGAAAGAAGAAAAAGGAAGAAGGACAATCAATGTCACAATACAAATATACTTACACATTAACATATTTAATATATTTTTATATTTCTAAGCTTTTTATCGTAAATTGTGTTCAATTTTGTATATTGGAAGCTCATTTGTATCATTATTTAATAAAGTTTATATTGTATAGGTTCATTTATATGTCTGGACGATTTACTTTTTATATCTTTTTATCTTTTTTACCTTTACAGGATTTTCCCATGTGCATTTAAACAGTAGACTGATGTCAAATACCCAGAGAAAAGAAATATTCTAAATGAGATCTCCTCTTGATCTCAGGTACTTCTCCTAGATGTGGTCCAGTTTGAAATCAGAGTCAGACTTAAGGCATTTCCTCCTGTTTCTGAAATTTGGCTCCTGAGACATAAAACTCACTTTCTCACTTTGATCAAAATGTTGTCACACATGGGTTTAACTCTTTTGTGTCGGAATCATCTCACCCCAGTCTCAGCTGAATAATATTTCCTTAAGAAAATTGTAAAATCTCAGTGTTTTCTTATAAAGCTCTATTCTGTATCACAGAACTCTTTCAGCACTCTGTTAGTGCAGAAGAAGAACTCACGCATTTCTCTTTCATCATCAGAATGCCAGTGAAAGGCTGGTATTAGTCTTCTCTTTTCTCTTAAAAGGGGTTTAGGAGAAACAATTTAGGAATCAGTGATCCCTCATTAATATA